TATGTTATGACTATTGTGTCCTGTGTGGATGAGGGATTAAAAAGATTAAGTAGGTGAAATTTTCTTCATTTAGGTTTTAGTATTAGAAATATTATGAAAATAAGTATTTTTTGCATCTTGTAATTTAGTTTTTCACAGGCCCAGATTTTTAGCATCTTTTAATTTTTCTGATTCATGAAATTACCACAGAGCTAAAAAATTATTTACAATAATTTAGTGAACTTTAGAGTGTGGTAATATCATGGGACCTTGAGTCTGCCTTTGGTCTTCATTTTCTTTATTTCATCAACTCGAGTTTGTTATTTCTACTGAGACTAATCCCAATTGGTTTTTAAAAAAAATCATAGAATGTTACTTAGGGCTGTTTAACTGGGGAGAATATATTGTCACCATATAGAACATTAGAGGGAAAAAAAGCAAAACATTAGAACCACTGTCTTACTTCCAGGAACTTTTTCACTGATTTTCAACCCTAGTGTCTCCCCACATTCCTAGGCCACCTTCCCCTACTCTGCCCCCGCCCCCCCCGCCCCCCATACAGAAACTGCTTCTTGGTTCATCAGCTGCCTTTTTTGCCATCTCCTCACATGGAGATGGCAAGGGGTTTCTCTGAGGTCTCTTTTACAGGGGCCCTAATTCCATTCATGAGGTCTATTCTTATGACCTAATCATCTCTCCAAAGCCCTGTCTCCAAATATCATCACTTTGGGACTTAGATTTCAAAATATGGCTTTCAGATACAGAGACATTCAGTCTGTAGCATCCTGTTTGCACAGGGAGAGGAGAGGAACTATTAAACATTGATCAGTGAATCTTAGCTTCGGAAGATAATCTTCCCTTTGGTTCATCTGTTTCATTTTTGGCACATAAAGAGCAGTATGTACCTCCTTTCCCCAAATACCCCTCTTAAGGGCGCAACCCCAAATTCTATCAGTCCCTGCGTCCTTGTCAAATCCCAGGTCTCTGATGCTCAGTAGTTTTTACTGGATCTATAAAGGACATTTTTTGCCTCTCAGTATAAGCCACAGATGCTTACCTTTCTGGTAACTTGGTGTGCTTACTCTCACTCTTTGTGTGCTAATTTCCACATGTCAAGTTCTTGGAGTAAAATAATTAAATGACTGTTGATAAGCATGATCAGTGGGTGCTTTGGGGGTGGAGAGCTATGCGACCACATCTGAGGTGAGAAATCCTATACTGTCAAAAAATTAACGAAGTTGTAAAACAGCGTTAAAAAAAAATTAAAAAAAAATAGTTTTGTGTCTGAGATTTCATCTAGGTTATAATCCAGCCTTTCTTTCCTCCTTCAAGAATGGAATGATGAGCTTCTCTTTGTTGGCAAGTGATAAATTCTAACAAAATCTTCCTTTTTATACTTTCTATGGAGACTTTTGTTGGATTAATTGTTCTCGGGATTGCAGATTATCTAACACTCTGTGCTTTAGCCTCGTGTTTAATTTAAACTTAGAAGTCAGGAGGCCTCCCTCGTGGCGCAAGGGGTTAAGTCTCAGAACTGTGAAGCTATCTGCAGCCACTGCAGCATGAGTTCAATCCCTGGCCAGGGAGCTGACTCACATGGCACAGCAGACCTCTCCTGTCTTACCTGCTACTCCCCTCAGCAATGTACTTCAGTAGAGCTGCCTGTTCTGCTTCCCACTCTGTCTCTGGTGAGTCTTCTCACCCGCCACACCACTGGCCTACACCCCAGCTCTTGTATGCATAAATAAATAAAATAAATCTTTAAAAACAAAGTAGGTAATTGTATTTTTCTATACATATGAGGAAACATGTTGAGAGGTAAACACATTCAATGAATTAACTGAGCTGAGACTTGAACCTGGCTTTTGCTGTATTCACAGAGATACTCGGCCATCACTAGAATCAATTTTAGAATATTTTCATCACTCCAAAAGAAACTCCATACGCACTAGCAGTTACTCCCCAATTTCCCTATCCTATCCACCCAAGGCAACTGCTGATCTACTTCTGTCTAAGGATTTATCTATCTGTGGACATACATGTAAATGGAATAATAATATGTGGTCCTTTATGACTGGCTTCTTTCACTTAGCACAATATTTTTAAGGTTTCATCCAAGGAGTGGCATGTATCAACACTTATGTCCTTGTAATGCTGAGTGATAATACATTGTATGGACTTATTTATCATTCATCATTTTATTTACTGATCATTATCTTATTTATTATTTTATTTGCCCATTCATCTGTTCGTATACCCTGGGGTTGTTTCAGTTTTTGAGTTATTTTGATTGAATAGTAATACTTGGAACATCCATGTAAAAGTTTTTGTGTGGACACATGCTTTCACTTCTCTTGGTTATACAGCTAGAAGTGAAATTGCTGTTTTATATGGTAAGTATGTTTCATATTTTGAGTAACTGCTAGCCTGTTTTCCAAAGTGGTTGCCCTGTTTCACTTTCCCTAAGTTTCTGGATTGTATTGTTCCATACTTTTATAATCTGGTGAGAAATGTATCCTTTGAGTTGATTTACAGGCCTCTAGAGCCAAGGTAGCACATGCTTCCTATTACTGATTTACAGGGGAGCATAATTGCCCAAATCAGGGTAAACAGTGGGCCATAAGTGGTAAAAAATTAACTATTAGCGTATTTTCCTACCTAGCCCTTTTTTTCTTTTTTGCTAGACGTGATTTTAGGTATATTTTCTCCACTTCTATTTGTATTTGTTCTTTACAACTGGATTGGAACTGGATAATAAATAAAAAGTGAAAAAGATAGATCTTATTTCAAAGTCCATTGTGATATATTCTTAAATTTAGCTCCAGGACCTTTGGGGGGCGGGGCGGTGTTCATTAAATTTGTTGGCTCTGCAGCTCTCATAAAATTAAGACTATAAGTTAGATTCCTCAGTGCTCTAATGGTCTTTGCATGGTTTACTTTTTTTTTTTTTTTTTTTGTGGCACCCTCGCAGGCGGCCAGGGAACCGGTGCTACAGAGGCTGCGGGCAGTCTCACAGCCCAGCGCTCAACCACTGCGCCACCAGGGGAGGCCCTGCATGGTTTACTCTTTGCAGGCTATAGACTATGTTGGTTACTCAGATAGCCAGCTCATAAATGAATTACTTTCATCCAAAGAGGGCCTTTGGATGAGCTAAACCTGAATCTACCCCCACTATTGGAAAATTACATTATCAGTTCACCTTATTTTTTTTTTAAGACAATTTTTTTTTTTTGAGATTTATTTTATTTACACAAGAACCGGGATATAGGCCAGATGTGTGAGAGAGTGAGCGGATTCACCAGAAACAGAGCGGGGAGCAGAACAGGCAGACTGGCGAAATAGACTAGTGAGGGGAGCAGCGGGCGAGACAGGAGAGGTCTGCTGCGCCATGTTGGCTGCTCGGAGTCCGGCAGCGATCGAACCAGCACTGCAGAGGCTACGGACAGCCTCACAGCGCTGTACTCAACCACCTGTTGTTTGTGATGTTATTGCAGGTGAGCTAGGTAGTTGAATTTTTCTTTTCTTTTGCTCGTCAAAACACCATTTTCCTATATATTTTTAAGTCATCTCATTTCCCCCCACCCCTTTCAGTAAGGTTCTTTTGTCACAGTCTGTATACCATCTGGTGATCCCTGGATCTCTTGGTTTATGGTATCTTTTATTATGTGGAATTTTTGTATGATCAAGTCTATTTTCTCCTTTATGGCTTTTGAATTTAATGTCATGCTCAGTTAAGGTTTATATACCTAAGCATGTGTGTGTGTGTGCGCGTGCGTGTGTGTGTGCGCGCATGCACTTGGGCCTGTGTGTGTGCATGTGTTTCATTATTTATAGGGTTTGTTTTGCTTTAGTTTTATCTGTTACTAAATTTGGAAATTAAAATTTTTTTAATAATAAAAATATTATTTTAATGCCCTTTTAAAAAATTTTTTTATTAGCACCTGTAAAAGTTAAAGCAACATTAAATGTGTGTAAGGAACCAAGAACATTTGGTTTTATTTATTTTATCATGTTTTCTTCATGAGAAATAGATGTCCAGGAGGAATTTTATGGACCTTATATTTATCTTGTAATTAATTACTTTGAAAGGTTAAATTTAATCATACTAAATAGCTATTATGTTCCTACCTTTATTTAAAATTATTTAGCAGAATTTCTACCTTCTATTGTTAGTTTGAAATACTTTTAAGTGTTCATAAATTGTATGTCTAAGCATACTAAGCATGGTTTCTGCTCTATTTATTCTAACCAGAGAGCCCTAAATCTGATTCTTTTTAGCATGAAAGCAAGGAAATCCGTTAGGATTAGCCACTGATCTTCCATTTATGGATTCTTAAACTGTTGCAATGACAATGCTTTCATCTCTGAAGGAATATGAAGATGAAATAATGGGGGGAAAGCAAAATAATATAAAGAATATTTTTTAAATTACTGATATCCTGATAAAAATTTCTTTGTTTTTTACATGTTACCACTTCTGTTGAATAAATGAGTCAGTGACATCCAGATTGCCCATACTTACTGTTTGATAATCAATGAAATTGTGTGACAGTTAAAATTTGAAACAGCTAATTTATGTCCAAGTTTGAATATTTTATTCTGGTAAACATTCTACCATGAATCTCAGGGGGAGGATGAAAAGCTTTTTTTTTTTTAATTAAAAAGAACTTCATGTGGGCCTCCCTGGTGGTGCAGTGGTTGAGCGCTGGGTTGCGAGGCTGCCCACGGCCTCTGCTGCGCCGGTTCGATCCCCAGATGCTCCCTGGCCACTGGAGGAGGGACCCACATGGCGTGCAGACCTCTCCTGCCGCCCGCTGCTCCCCTCAGCAGTGTACTTCGGTCCTTCTGCCTGCTCTGCTCCCCACTCTGGCTGTACCCAGTGCTTGTATAAATAAATAAACAAATAAATCTTTAAAAAAAAAAAAAAAAGAACTTCATGTGAAAAAGTCCGTCTCTAACTCTATAGTATAACAAGGGCTATTAATTAATCACTATAGTGATGTGTTTTTCTGTTTTTGCAGGTAAAAAAAGCCAAGATGCAGGAATCAGGAGAGCAAACTTTAAGGTACATAAAGTTGGATTTTTTTAAATGATCTAGTTGTAATACTTTTCATAATTTGATTAGTGTATGGGTATGGTTTGAGTTGACTGTTCTTTAGTTATTTTTTGCATTTGTATATTATTTTTTGATACTCGACCATTAACTAGATAACTTCTGTAATGTTACTTGTAGCCAATTTTTAAAAATTTATTATTTGAGGTAATTTTGGTTTATAATACAGTATATGATTTAGGTGAATAGGTTTATACCTCTTCAGATGTATGTTACCACACCAAACCTATCACCAAAGCACCTGTAGTCCTCCACCATAGACCACGAGACCCCTTCCCCTTCTAAATAGCTTCAGTTCTGCAGTCATGTTTCTAGAGTTTGTTTTGTCTGTTCCTTTGTTTTCTTTTTCTATATTCCATAGATGAGTGAAATCCTCCAGAATTTATCTTTCTCCTTCTGACTTATTTCACCTGGCATTCCCCACCCCATTTCCATCTATGTAGTCACAAATATTAAGCTTTTATATTTTTTTTAATAGCCAAGTAGTATTGTGTTTTGTATATATACCGCATCTTCTTTATCCATTCATCTATTGTCAGACGCTTAGGTTGTTTCCATAACTTGGCTATTGTAAATGTACCGCAGTGAACATAGGAATGCATATGTGAAGGATCTGTTTGATAAATTGAGCTAAGATTCTTAAGGACTAGTTGGTTATTTTTTCACCTCCTATGAGGCAAGTTAACTGCTCTGTTCCAAGTTATGAGCAAAGTTAATTGCTCTGTTCCAGGTTGAAATTTCCTGTATTTCCCCAACCCTGCCCCACCTGTGCTCAACTGAGTGGCTATGGGATTTCAGGAGACTCCCAGGCTCTGCAGGGCTTCAGGCAGCCCCACACCAATGAGACCACTGCAGGCCCAGAGTTCCTAGCAACACTCTTAGTCTTTCTAGGCCCAGCTTATCTCTGATCTCAATAGTGGTAGAGCTGTAGGAGCCTCCTGCTTTCTGCCCAGCACCAAAAAAAGGATGCTGGCCATCCAGGACTTCTGTGAGCTCAGCCACTGCCTCAGGCGATTGAACCTTGTGTGCTCGCCAGCACATATAGGAGGAATTTTACCCCTTCCAGATAGTCCTTTCAGTTGATTATGATCCCAGTCTGTCCCCCAACATCCCATAGAGTTAGAAACACATGTCGTGGGGGTTTCAAGGGGTTCCATGTTGAAACCAATGGTGGGCAAAGCCTCTACTAGATTTTGGCCCTTCATTTTGTACAGGAGCGTGGTCTTGTCAGCTAAGTCAGTGCCCTCCACCTTGGAGTTCACAGAACCCATGGTGACCACTGCTAAACCTACAATCTCGGTGACTGTGAGTGAAAACTCCTCTGTGATTCTCTTCCGCTAGGTAGTAGCTTCTGCTAGTCAATTATGACTCTAGAGCAAGATATGAAGGACATGTAGTGTCTTTGTTCCTTCTCTCCCCCGCCCCCCTTCTAGTTCTTAACATCAGTCTTTACATTTTGAAATTATTTGGCTTAAAATGTGGCACAACGGTTGAGCGCTGGGCTGCAAAGCTGCCCGCAGCCTCTGCAGCGCCAGTTCAATCCCCGGCCGCTGGGGAGGGTCCCACATGGTGCGCAGACCTCTCCTGCTGAACCTGCTGCTCCCCTCAGCAGTGTACTTTGTCAGTCTGCCTGTTCTGCTCCCCGCTCTGGCTCTGGTGAATTCTCTCACCCTCCCGCGCTTGTGACTGTACCCAGTGCTTGTATAAATAAATCTTAAAAAAAAAAAAAAGTTTTCCTCCAAAACAGTTTGTCCTCAAAACAGTTTTTTTTCTTATTCAGTCATCATTCAACAATATCCTGTGATGTATGGAGACACATGGTGATGTATGGAGGAGACACACAGAACATTAGTCCTATGATGTCTTTACACTTCTGCTTTAATGATTTATTTTATTTTCAGTGTTAACCACTGACTCCTCAAAAAATGACTTCAGTATCTTATGCTGCTTAAATCATACTGTTACTGTACTCAGTCCCCTATAAACATTCTTAATCTCTCCCCTTTTCCCTTTGTCATACTTCCTTAGCAAAACCACTGTTCCATACTTATTCCCAATCACCTGAACGTTGTGAAAGAAAAACATAAAACTCTGCTCACTGGTCTCAGTTTCCATTCATGATACATCTCAAACAGACACTTAAACCCTCTTGGTGGTCCAGCTACCCTTCCTGTGTTGTATTTTCCAGTTTCTGAAGTTTCTGAAATCATTTTCCCTTCTTGCCTCCTGCCTTTCCCTCTTCCCTTCCCTCCTTTTCCTTCTCCCCTCCTTTTAAGTATCCTCCCATTTACTCATCTGGGGATCTTGCTACCTAATTCAAAGATCTTAAAATCAATTAGATAGACAGGCCTCCCTGGTGGCAGGGTTAAGATGCAACTATGAAGCTATCCGCAGTCACTGCAGCACGAGTTCAATCCCCTACCGGGGAGCTACTGACATGGTGCAGCAGACCTCTCCTGAGTCACCTGCTGCTCCCCTCAACAGTGTATTTCAGTCAGTCTGCCTATTCTGCTCCCCATTCTGTTTCTGGTGAGTCCTCTCACCTCCCACACCTCTGGCCTGTACCCCAATTCTTGTATGCACAAATAAAATCTTTTTTAAAAAAATCAGTTAGATAGACACTGCCTCATTTGTCTGTCACCAAATGTACATACTTAAGGCATTTTTGCAACATTCTCTGCTACCCTTTCCACTGAGGTTAATTCTTCTACTCTTTTTTTTTAAAGATCCATTCACTCATGCATACAAGAGCTGGGGCACAGGCCAGAGATGTGGGAGGGTGAGAGGATTCACCAGAGACAGAGCAAGGAACAGAACAGGCAGATTGACCGAAGTACACTGCTGAGGGGAGCAGCGGGTGAGACAGGAGAGGTTTGCTGCGCCATGCGGGTCAGCTCCCTGGCCGGCTGGGGATCAAACTCATGCTGCAGAAGCTGAGGATTGTTTCATAGTGCCGTGCTTAACCCCTTGCACCACCAGGGAGGCCCCTAATTCCTCTATTCTTTTTTTTTTTAATTCCTCTATTCTTAATCTAAGCTGGATGCCCCCATTTTTGCCATGGAGCCTATCACCTTTGTTTTTTTCTTGCAGTTGTCTCCTCTCTTCAGCAATTTATTATGATAAAATATACATACTTTATCACTTCAGCTATTTTTAATTATGTAATTCAGTGGCTGTGGCATTAAGTGCCTTAACATTGTTGTGTAACCACTTATCATCTATCTCCAGAACTTTTTTCATCTTCCCAAAATGAAACTAATTATTAAATAGTAAACTCTCCATTTCCCCCCTCTTTTAGTACCTGGTAACCACCATTCTACTTTCTGTCTCTGGTCTTGACTACTCTGAGTACCTCATATTAGTGGAATCATATATTATTTGTCATTCTGCGAGTGGCTTGTTCATTTAGCATAATGTCTTCATCTGTGTTGTAGCTTATATCAGAATTTCCTTTTTAAAGCTGAACAATACTCCATTGTATATCTCTACCATGTTTTGTTTATCAGTGTGTCTACTGATTGTGTTGATTATTGATGGTAGTTCTGTTGGCAAAGAATGAGTTATTTTTGTGTGAAGTTTGTTTTGTTCTTTTATTGGGGAGCCATTTTGTTTGTTTATTTATTTATTTATGTAGAAGAACTGGGTACAGGCCAAAGATGAGGGGAGGTGAAAAGATTTACCAAAGACAGAGTGGGAAGCAGGACAGACTTACTGAAATGCACTGCTAAGGAGAGCAGTGAGCATGACAGGAGAGGTCTGCTGCACCGTATGTAGGTTAGCTCCCTAGCCAGGGATTAAGCTCAGGCCACAATGGTGATAGCCCTGAGTCTTAATCCCTAGCCACCAGGGAGGCCCCTGCCATTGTATTTTAGAGCATCTTTTTATGTGTACATTATTAAGCAAAATTCATGTTTATGTAACTGAAAATAATTACACATTGAGTCAGTATACTGATTTTAGGGATACTAACTTTAAATATTTAACAATCTAAAATTGTGAGTAAATTCATTGTCTGACTTTGTTTCTATTTAATTTCTAGACACTGTTAATAGGTCAGATATTTTGCTATAACATAAAATTCCTGGGCCATAAGACTTTAGGAACTGGTATATTGTATATCAGACTATATAAATTCATCTTCTAAGATAAAGGATCTAAAAAGTCCTTTACCAGTGGGGGTAACAGTGAATCCTAGACCTACTCAAATATACACAGAAGACAACAAATCATTGTAAACATAATGTGAATTTCTTGTTCAGCTTTATTTATACCCTTCTTGAAAACCTATTTAATTAGACATGAGAGGATCCAGCAGTCTGTATTATTGCCAATTATTTAGATAACTATATTAGGGCAATTTGGGAAACTTTGATATAATTACTCAGTTGAGTTTTTCACTCCTGCCCTTTAATTCTTAGGTATTTGATTAAAGAGACAAACATCTGGGGGTTTAGCTTTGAAAATTAATCTGAGGGGGGAAATTTCAAGCATTTTGAATATACTAGGGAAAAAGAAACTGTTACCATTCGTGAATATTAGAATTCCATCTAGTAATGATATGAGAACTTTGAGAATTTTGGTGCTGTGAACTTTTTAAATGTGTAACATTTCTTTTGAAAATTTTGCTGTGTAGAAACTACTCTTAACACTTGTCTTATCTTTACCAAGAGGGGGGACATCTGGTACAGTGTCCTCTACTCCCTAGCATGTAGAACAACAAAGCAAATTTCTTTCTAGGGAGTATGAATGTGGGAAGGAGGTGTGGGTTGGGAGGAAGTTGTAATATAGTAATACAAGCTACAGTTATACTTGTTCTGTTCTAGTCTTTGCTGTAAGTTCTTTTCACAGATTAACTCATTAATCCCTATAAGAACTCTGAGTTAGGTTCTGTTATTCCTCATTGGTGCTGAAGAAAACTAGGGCAAAAGAAGTTCGGTGACTTGCCTAAGATCATAAAGCTAAGTACTGGCAGAGTGGAATATCGACTCAAGTAATCTAGCTCTAGACTCTTAACTCTTATCTGGTGTGCTATACTGGTAGAAGAGGGAATAACTGAGGGTGGAAAGTAAGGTAAAAGGAAAAAGGAGAACATTGTAAGAGATGAAAAAATAATGTCCATTCCAGAATTTCAATGACAATCTTCCCAACATTAAATGTCTGACATATGGGAAAACTGAATAGTCATAAGTGAAAAAATGAAATTCTCAAACCATTCACAAAAATTAACTCAATATGGATTAAAGACTTGGATTTAAGACCTGAAACCTATATAAACATAGGCAAAATACTTCATGACATTAACTTTAGAGATGTGTTTGGGTACTCAACTCTAATGGCAAAGGAGACAAAAGCAAAAATTGACAAATGGGGATCCATCAAACTGAAAAGCTTCACAACAAAAGAAACTACCATTAAAATGAAGAAACTTCCTGCTGAATAGACAAAAATATTTGCATATCATACATCTGAGAAGGGGTTAACATGGAGAATGTATAAAGAACTCATACAACTCAACAACAACAAAAGCAAATAACCCTATCAAAAAATGGCAGATCTGAATAAACACTTCTCCAAAGACAATGTATAGATGGCCAAAGGCACAGTTGCTCATCATCACTTATTAGGGAAATGCAAATCAAAAGCATAATCACCTCACACGTATGAGAATGACTTGTATCAAAAAGACTAGCAACAACAAATGTTGGTGAGGTGCGGAGAAAAAGGAACCCTCATACACTGTTGATGGAATGTAAATTGGTGCATTCTATGAAAAACAGTATGGTGTTTCCTCAAAAAGTCAAAAATATACCTACTATATGACCTAGCAATTCTAGGAATCTAAAGACTATAAGAACACCAATCCATATATGGAATATGTGTATTACATATACTCATTGGAGCATTATTTACAATAGCCACGATAGGGAAACAACCTAAATTCCCATTAGTGGACTATTGGATAAGGAAGATATGGTATATGGGACCTGTATGTGTAAGTAATATGAAATCTTGCCATTTGTAACGTTATGGAGGGAACTGAAGGGCATTATGCGCAAAATAAGTTAAAAGGAAAAAGGCAAATATGGATGATTTCACTCATGTGGAATATAAAGAAATAAAACAGGAACAGAGAAAACAAAAACCAAACTAAACCACTGGATTCTGACTGCAGAATTGAGGTTACCAGAGAAGGGTGAGCACAGGGTGGAGGGAGTCCAATGGACTGTGGTGTGGTGGAGGGCATGGTGTGATAACATACATTTGAAGAGGTGTGAAACAAATAATGTTGTAAACCAATGTTACCTCAATCTAAAGGAAAAAAAGAAGATTCTTCTATTGTACTTATTTTATTAGAAAAACTAGGAAACATGTTACTTTTACCGAACAACAATGTGGTGATAGCAAATTTCATACAATATTAAGAATCTTGATATGGTATATGGGAATATACCATAATAACACAGCCTAGAGGGGGAAAGTGTATACCTCTAAAACAATCAGAATTGTAACGTTTACATGATAATATTTTCATGGTGTCTCTTAATTTTCCTTCTAAGCTATTAGGAAAGATGTTGCTCAGTCTTGTATATAATAATAAGTCAAACAAAAATTTTTTATTGGGAAAGAAGAGAAATAATGAATGAACCATTTTAAGGCACTTCCTGGAAGCAAGAACCCCTTCTTGGAAGCAAGCATGTATCATTTGGGAAAACAACTCACATGATTGTGAGAACCACTGCTTGAAATGAGGACTCTGCTTTCCTTTGATGCTTTGGAAATAAACAGCAGTGTTAGTTGTGGAGTTTTTCTCTTAGCACATGGTCTTTAGAGAAGGTGTGGCTTGCCCATAACAGCAGGATTTCCAAGTGATATAAAAGCTAAATGGGTCTAGGGACATGAGAAAGAACAGTAGGATGCTGAGGGCATTAGACAGGGCACTAGCTCTTCATGTAGCTGCTAAAAGCTAAGAATACCATAAAGAAGAATCACTTTGTCTCTTACTTGTATAGACTAGAAGAAATAAGTTTGATTTCATCACTTCTAGTGATTAGCAAATCACTCAGGCTAATGTAATTATTTTGGTTTTCCCAGTCAAGTAAGCAACCCTGAAGTCAGTGATCAGAAACCTGAAACTTCAAGCCTTGCTTCAAATCTTGCCATGTCAGAGGAAAGTAAGTAACCATATTCTATGAATGACAGAAGTATTTTTATAATTAAGTGATGGTTTTCTTAAAAAATCTGATTTCACTGATTGGCTTGTTTGTCCCAGAATCTCCAGAAGGCTTTGCATTCTGTGTGTGTGTGTGTTCATCCTTGTCCTGTCTTGTAAACTTTATTGACATACCAACTGAGGAACAAAATCATATGAAATCTACCAACCCAAGCAGTCACACTTGATGATTTCATTTTTGATCAGAAGTTGGATGTTGTGAAGTTAAATGTGCCTATCTCTGACTGCTCCTCAGACCTGATATTTTTCCATCTTTCTAATAATCAAATGATTATCAATCTAGGCCAAAAAGGAAAAACAATTCTGAGAACCTAATATTGATACTGGGCCCTAAAGGATATCCAGATCAATTAAATATACCCTCCATTTAACCAACCCTCACCTCCTATAGAAGTTATATTCTACATTAGACAAAAAGTTGTAGGGTGTTCTGGGATTTTTTTGTCTGCGGAGACATTGGCGTTCCCTAGCATACTTATTTTCCCTAAAGTTTCCCCATATGGCAAGTAGTCCTTCTGAAATAAAATAGCTATACTGTTCCATATTTTGCCACACTTTAAAAAGATGAAAAAAATTATGTTAGACATTTAAAAGAAAAGTTACTTTGTTTTGGAACTATTTCTTCTCAGTGTGATTGTGATTAATCTTACGTATTTCCCATGTATTAACAAACAGCGTGACTTTTTAAAAAAGGTATAAGGTGTATATATTATTTCTTTAAGTAATTGTTCCAGTGGTTCTCAAAAGTTAGCATATCCAGGAATCAACTGGAGTGCTTATTTGTAATGGAGAAGTCCAACCTCATCTTCAGAGATAACATTCAGTAGATCGCATGTGGATGGGAATCTGCATTTCAAGAAGTTAGCTAGATGATTCTGGTACATATGCAAAACCGTTCATGCTGTGGGATATTTCTCTAATTAGTTGAAAGCATCTCCTCTTTTTCAAATGTCCCATGCATCCCCAGAAAAAAAAGATATTTCCCTTACATACTCCAGGGCCAGGAAATAAATTGCATTTTTTTGCTACTTCCATATAGTTTCTCTTCCCTCCTTTCCTTCAAAAACTCTAGTTTCTTTGAAGTCTATATGTATGTCTCCTGCAACATTTTTTTTTTTTTTTAAACCTCAGGCCAAGCTCCTCTTAGTCATTCTGCTTTAAATCTTTATTTTCTTCTCTATCTAAACTCACTGTTCTTGGTGATTTCAACATCTGTGTAAGAGGCATATCCAATACCCATCTTAGTCCTCTTGTCTTCATTTTCTTTGTTACTCAAGATAGATGTTATGATCCTTTATTATAAATTACTATACAAATACCTTCAATAATTTTGCCTTGTTAAATGCTATCCCTAATTTAATCAAACTCTATAAGTCCTTCTCTGTAAGTCCATGCAAATAACTAAACACCATTGTATAAAATTATATACCCAGCTGACTATTTGCACCTTAGTCATGATCATAGGGCCTCAAGCTAGAAATCTTACTACATTTCCCTGATGAGTTTTACCATTTAATATTTCACACCACTTCTTTTCCTTTCAAAGCACTCTGCTCGTTTACTGTTCCCTCTTCTTATTGATAACTCCTTCTCAAATAGAAGCTGTCAGACAGGGCCTCCCTGGTGGTGCAAGGGGTTAAGTCTCAACACTATGAAGCTATTGGCAGCTACCGCAGCACGAGTTTGATCCCCAGCTAGAGAGCTGACCACATGGCACAGCAGACCTCTCCTCTCTCGCCTGCTGCTCCCCTCAGCAGTGTATTTCAGTCAGTCTGCCTGTTCTGCGCCCCACCTTGTCTCTGGTGAATCCTCTCACCTTCCTCCCCCTCCTCCCCCCCCACCACCTCGGGCCTATACCCTAGCTCTTAATAAAAAACAAACCCTGAAATCTGTAAAAAAAAAAAAAAAAAAGCTGTCAGGCAAAAAACTCCTTTACATCCCACCACTAGCAGATCTTCAAACCTACCTATGGTTGTAACCATGTGTTCTTGCTTCATTCTTATTAGAATGGAAAAAATAACATTCTTGCTGCTGTCAAAGTTAAGGCCTTTTATTTTTGTTCCGTATTCTATCCTTTTCTCATCTTCCCCAAGGACTTTGATAGTGCAGTTATCCTAACACCACTCCTATATTCTCATATTCTTTTCTGTCAGTAAAGAGATGATGCAGTATTCACCATCTGAAAACAGAAATTAAAAACCCTCCTTTTGACTCCACATCTCCCACAACTTACAGGCCTCTTTGTTCCGTGACCATTGGAACTGCTGAAAGAATCATCCTCAATTGTTTTCTCAACTTCCACTTACTCTTCAACCCTTTGAAATTTAGCTTCTTTTCGCACTCTTCCAATGAAATTGTTTTTGTCAAGATCGTTAGTTTTAGTGACTGAAAGTACTGGTTCTAGTAGACAGTTCTCTCCTCATATTCTGCCTCTTAATGCTTTTCCTCCCACCTTTTTTGTTTCCTCACCCTTTTGTCTGAACTCTTTTGGTGGGCCTCAGAATTTGTTTCTAGTCCACCATATTTTTTCTCTTTCCGTATCCTCTCATCTATTACATTTCCTTAAATATCTTAAACATTTTTAATAAATTCCGTATTTATGTTCCCAGCTGACTTCTCCCCCAGTTTAGTTTGTATAGTCAGCTCCCTATTAGACATCTCCACTTAGATGTCTGAAAAGTTATACTTAAAATTTGTGAAAGCTATTTATTGCTTTGTCCCCATCAAATCTATTCTAGCCGCAGAATCCCCCAATGTAGAAAGTGGCGTCACTATTCCTCCAGTTGATAAAACTGAAAACCTGTAAATCATCCTGTATTCCTTATTCCTTACGTACAAATCTATCAGAATGTCCTGTTTGTTTTACCTTTAAAAAATTCAAGGTTTTACCTCATCTCCACTACTACTATTCCAGTATAAGAGCAATTATGTCTTGATTCTAATTCTTTCTTGATTCCCAAGAACTGCAAAGATCAAGGATAATTCATTCTCCAGGGAAGGAAAAATTGGCCTACATTTCCCAGAATGTTTTGTTAGTCTCTTCTAGAGCTAGATTAAAGCAGAGGAAGAGAAGAGTTTGGGTTTTTGAAAATACTTGTCAGCAGCGCATGAGTCACCATGCAGAATTCAGATGAATTTACCTTACATCCTGTGTGATGGGTGCTGGGAATTTTAGATCTAAATGAGATGTTCCTTTCTGTCAAAGTGATTGTGGATGAATGTGATCTGCAAATTCCCAGTAATTATTTTTAAAGACCTTGAACAATGACAGTGGACAAGATCTTCTATGATAAATTCACAGATACTGTTTTGTTTTACTTTTGGGCATGAATTGGCCCCCCATATGCTGTTTAACGGATTTCCCTTTTTGGATGAGGCACTCAGAACTTAGGTAGACAAGATTAGTTCACCATTAGTTAATGTCTTCATTGATTGTAAAGCAACCTACAGATTTTGGAGGAAGTTTCTTGAATAGTTGAGAAATCTCATAGAAGCGCTTTATGATGTGACTTTCCACAACATAGACTGAATTAATACCTAATTAATAGGGTTCTGCTCTAACTTGAGTTGAATATTTATCAGACTTACCCCAGATGGAATCATGAGAGTCAAGCCTTCACAGCAGTAGTTCTAGATGAAGTAGTCATGGAATCATGAGGGCACTAGCTGGGAAAGTCTCTACCTGATGATTCATCAGAGCATCACATCACTTCCTCAGGTCTATCTCTGCCTTGCTCAACTTAAAGCCTTTTCTACATAGCTGAAAAAATAGTAGTATAGAAGCATACTTTCATCTTTTTTGCTGCTGACTATCCACAGTAATTTTCAAATAAAATTGGGCACTTCTTGTAAGTCATTCTTACGGCTTTTTACTACGAATAGAGCAAGCATACAAAAAATGAATAAACTGAAGTAGTACAGTGTAGTTTCCTAGCTATGGACAGTTCCCTTGCTTTTGAAGTTTGCCTGTGAGTACAACTGCCAGTTTAGGCGCAAACTGCCAGTTTGCTTCATCTTTTTTTTTTTTTTTTTTGGTGGGACCCTCGCCGGTGGCTGGGGATCGAACTGGCGCTGCAGAGGCTGCGGGCAGCCTCGCAACCCAGCGCTCAACCGCTGCGCCACCAGGGGAGGCCCTGCTTCATCTTTTTCATTGAAGTGACAGATCAGTGATGCATGAAGGTCAGGATCAGTTAGTACTAACTTTCTGCTCTTTTCTAGACCCCTCACTCAAGCTTCTTTTGCTTTTCTAAGGTCTCTAAATCCGATATGTAACTGTATAGTCTTTCTAAATTTCTGATGTCCAAGCTGTATCTGTTATTTAGTTTGAAAGACTATACAGTGAGAGATGCAGCTTTCCCATTTCAGTTTTGAAGTGTTCTAACTTTATACTTGGTGATATCTGTCTTTCAGTTATGACATGCACCGATTACATCCCTCGCTCATCCAATGATTATACCTCACAAATGTATTCTGCAAAGTAAGTTGATGAATTATTTTTAAAAATCTATATGCTTTCTCTCTAGGTTCATTGCAGATTTTAACTTTATTTAACTATTAAGTTGATATGTAACTTACTTTCTCCTCTCTTGTTCTCTTGGGCCTCTAAATGTAGAGTCTGCGTAACATCCTTTTGAAAGATAGATGGTTACGTGGAATAGATCACTGTTGCCCAGAAGCTCACGCTGAATGAATAGGCACTGGAAATGCAAAATAGTGTTAATGATCAAAGAATATCATTGATTAACCTCTTTTTATTCTCTTTTTCCTTTACTCTCATACACAGACCTATAAAAATAGCTCAAGCCAGACTCAGACTGGGACTTCTCAGACTAATCCTTCTTCAATTTCTTATTTTAGAAAGGTAAAATAGGGCTCATAAAAATTAGATGAGCTTTTCGGGTTGACCTCACTAAGAGGCAACATTTTGGGTCTTTATGGAATAAGATCAGCATTTACGATCCACCAAGTTAATTATCTCGATATGAATAGGTGAAACAGTGTTTATACAGAGCCATCACCAGTGGTGCATTGATTGAGTGAACCCATACATCAGAGATGCATAAGGTGTGCTTTATTAAAGTAGGATGTATTCTTACATGCTTATAGATGAAGGATATATAAAGAAATTATAACAGGGCTAAGTGAAGCCTATAGGATTAATATAAAAAGAAATGCATTTTTTTTTCCTTTTTGTATCTACTTGTAACCTGAATTTTGCATCAGTTAAAAAGTAAACTGAAAAGTCAACTCAGTGAGTTTTCCAAATTCTTATCTACTATCAACACTAATTTTGGGCTATTCATTTTTGTGTGGTTTTCTGTTTCTGTGATATGACAGAATCTATTTTCTGAGATCATTATGAAAGCAACACAAAAATACTTTGTATTCTAGAGATACTATATGAAAGGATATTATGATCTTTAACATATATGGAGATAAGTCCACTTGAGGTCATTAAGATTTTTACTCATTGGGCCTCCCCTGGTGGCGCAGCGGTTGAGGGCTGGGCTGCAAAGCTGCCTGCAGCCTCTGCAGTGCCGGTTCGATCCCTGGATGCCGGCAAGGGTCCCACGTGGCGCGCAGACCTCTCCTGCCACGCCTGCTGCTCCCCTCAGCAGTGTATTTCAATCAGTCTGCCTGTTCTGTTCCCTGCTCTGGCTCTGGTGAATCCTCTCACCCTCCCACGCTTCTGACTGTACCCAGTGCTTGTATAAATAAAATTAAAAAAAAAAAAAAAAGATTTTTACTCAATCCCCATGTGTCTTGAGTACAACTATAACCTGAAATTTTTCTGGTCTCAGATCTGGCTAAGAAGATAAAACTTTTTTATTTGGTCTCTTAGAATTTACTGAGACACGAATATGTTGCATATTCCAAGTCCATTCATGCATCTAAAAAAAAAGTGCACCTTACTAAGCTGTACCTTATCTCCTTAACCTCTTACCTGAATCCTTGCATTTTAAGTTTTTTTTTTTTTTTTATTGGACCACCTTTTCCATCCTTCCCGCCTTCTAATCTATTTTACAAGCAGTGTCAAATTAGTCTTTATTAAAGAACAACTCTGATCTTGTCACTCTTTGCTCAACAGTTTCAGTGACTCCCGGTTGTTTTAAATTTGTGTGAAGTCTTTTAGCCTGGTGTTCAAGGTTTTCACTGTTTCTCTTGTTATTTTCTTTCCCTTTGTATACTTCCCTTATTATATAGGCTCCTTGCAGTGAAACCCTTGCTTTCCTTCCTCTCTACCTTTGCCAGAGTTTTTACCTTTACTTATAACACCCTGTCTCTCCCATCTCTGCAAATCTTTTAGTGAGTTCACATACCGTTTCTTGATAGCCTTCTTTTTTCTCTTCCCACAAATTGAAAAAAATCTTTTCCCCTCTGAAACATCCCCAGCCCCCAGTATTTTTATGTTATGACTTACAATGGCCCATAAAACACGTTTTCCTGTATTATAAGTATGGTGTGACTCACCCAGTAAAATCACTGGTATTTAAAAATTTAGTGCATAAAATGTGGGACCATCTTATTGCATGGATGAAATGGCCAGGTCTTCTAACTAATCTGAAGTCCCAGAAATTTCACTGCTGAATTAAAACTCCCAGCTAACTCTGATGTGGTTAGTATCAACTAATACTCGTATATTCTGGCTAAAATATCACTGGGAAATTTGAGTCCTCTCTAGGTCTTCCCAGGTTTTATTAATTACCTGATTCCTGTTTTGTACACTTGATCTGAAGATATTGGGGCCTCTCCCTACTCCCAATATGGTTACCAGCCTCAAAACTCTTTTCTAAGTCCCACTTTTCTTCTCAGAACCTTAGTTTGGCCCACAGGGCTAATTGAGAATGAGAGCCAATTGCCAATTCTATTCTAACCAGTTTTTCCCATTCTTGTATCTCACATAGGTCCTTGCACATAGCACACCACAGACGTTTATAAGATAATAATTGAAACTTAGGAGGATATTTGAAGCTATAAAACTTTTCATAAAATTGTTCCTTAGATAGATGATGATAGAACCTCGAAAGGAGAAAATGGCTCTACTTTTTAACCATAGTAAGAGACATTTTATGTGGGTGATTAGTCTCCTCATTGCTGGTTCTTTGCTGCTAGTGGTGTTAGTTCTTTCCCCTTTTTTTCCATTATAAAACAAATTACACATGAAAATTTTTGTTTTCTTGAACTTTTCTAGACCTCCTTATGCACATATCCTCTCAGTTCCTGTTTCGGAAACTGCTTACCCTGGGCAGACTCAGTACCAGACATTACAGCAGTCACAACCCTATGCTGTCTACCCTCAGGCAACCCAAACGTATGGACTACCTCCTTTTGGTAAGGCATCCTATTGTAAGCAGTTTCTAAAAATGTTGTTTTTATTCCCCAGAAACTTTGATCTTTCCCCTCACAAAACATGACTAATCAAGAAAGTTAAGAGCCAGGTTGCTCTTTGCAGATTACCTACTCAGTTACAGGTGTGATAGAAGTTGGGTATGCAACTTTACATCAGTATAGTTGATACATGTAATATAATTAGCCTTTCAATAGTCATTTGTTTATCTACCAAAATTTAACTATTTCTAAGGTATTAAGTCTTGACTGTAAAGCTGGGAATCTTTGAGGAGTGATGATTTGACAATACAGAGTACCATGGTTAAGTAAACATAATAAATATATTTTGAGATGGTCAGTTTCTTCTTAAAAGCAGATAATCGAAATATCCAAATAGAATATGCCTTCTAAGTTCTTTCTTTCAGTCCCTCTCTCCCAATACTCCCCCTCTTGTCAGTATCGCTCTCCTTTTCCCCCCCAATTCCCTATGAAAATCTCCAATTCTTATAACTGTTATGTACATTGAGTTTTGTTTGGGGTTTTATGTATAGATATGAGTTATAGTGATTTATTTGCTGGAAGTCAGTTTTCATTTCTTCAGATACTTAATAGCTGTGCTGATTTTTCTGTGAGTGTAAATTGTTGGATATATACAGTATACTTCATTTTTCCTTCCCTGCTTTCATAGAGTTGGTGTCAGAAAATTGAGAGAATGCCGTATCATTTTAAAATAATATAATGTGTTGAGCTATCTGCTCGCCCCCCCCCCCTTTCAGAGAGCTTTCCTATCTGTCTCCATATCTAATAATTTGAACTTCTTGCTTTCAAAAATAAAGTATGTAATGTGTTAATAAAATTATATACATTTATCCTTTTTTGAAACAAGCTGGGAAAGCAAGCTGGTTAGAATATAATAAATTTCAGAGATTTAAAATTTTCTAAACAGATTACTGCATATGCTAGATGTGTTCGTAGTACCTACTTTTGATTTTTACTTTCCTGCTTCTCTTGGCCTCTTTGGTTAGACTTTTAGGATAGTAACAGCTTTCTTACTTTCGGGCTTCTTAGATTCCTTTGCTCCTGGTAACTGTTAGAAACAAAAAACTGGGGTTATGTTTAATGATAGCAAGACTTAACTTCATCAACTAAGGGAGATAGAAATGCTTTTGTTTCCCCAGGTGTATGTCCATGCATTCATGCCTGTCACTGTCAGCCAGCATACTGAAGTCTTAGATTTATGATATATTTAACCAACCAAACCTGATAGTCCTTTTGGAAGCAGAACTCTGTGTAAATATATCTGTGCTTATTTCTTTTTGCTTATATTAAAGCTAATTTTTCAGCAGCAGCCAATGATAGTTATTGTTTACCCTCTGTTTTTATTTGAATTTATTATTAGCACACCCAGGGTCTTTATGACATTTTTGAACAGTTGTTGATTCCTACTGTTCAATATTAAATAAAACACCTATCTTTGAACTCAGTTTATGAAATTATTAGCATAATGCCATGGTGCATGTAGGTCTTAGTTTATTTTATGACCACTGCATTTTCCTTGTTTAAAAAAAAAGAAAATTCTATAAAATAGATAAAATCCCTGTAAAATATTAAACTATGCTTATATTATAATGAAATACAGTATTGGTATTAATAGGCTTTTTTACTAATCTGTTGTTTAATATTTGGGGACAAGGGAGACATTTCACAAATTCTTCTATCATTAATCCAGAGAAGAGAGAGAGAGAGAGAGAGAGAGAGAGAGACAGGTAATCATTGACCTAATTTGACTTTAAGTAATATATGAGACTTACTGGAGAGAGATTTATGTTTGGGTAATTGGATGATAGATATGTCATATTCTCAGAATTTATAAAAATTACAAAGATGTTTGTAATTTTTCTAACTTTTTAAAACTTTCTTGTGTTTAAACATATGATTTGTAATTTTGTGTGTTCACTTAAATATAATACAACAGTTGATTTCTTTTTGTAAAAATTTTGATGCATTTTGTCATCTTAATGCCACATATTAACACTAAGACTGTGTTAGCTAGTCTGCTATTTTGTTGCATATATACAAGGCTTCAGAAAAATCTCAGTGTAGTGCTATTTCCTAATATCTATTGAGTATTTAGTATACTAACTAGTATGCTAAAAATAAGTGCTTCATGTTTTACATTATTGTCTCATTTAATCCTCAGACCAGGTCTAAGAAGCAAGCAGCATTATCCCTTTTCATAGCTGAGAAAATTGAGGCTTAGAAGTATTAAGTGACTCCCCAAGATCACAATTAGTAAATGCCTGGCATTAAAATAGAACACAGCTGTTGATGTCCAGAACTATACATAAATTGGGGTCTATATAAAAATGATGGTCTCATAGTTTGAAATTAAAAGCTTCGTGCTTTTGAAGGAAAAAGACTAGAGGAAATCTTGGAAATCAATATTGTGAATAATCTTTGAAAGTAAAGGAATAGTAGTTATATTCTTTCCAGAGCTAAACAGAAACATGATGGGATAGAAGAAAGAATATTAGAGGTTTAATTTCCCGTGTTCTAAATGCATATGTATGAGGAAAAGGATACACATTTATTTTGAGGTTCTCATTAAATATGCCCTTTAGCTGACTCTGTTATAACTCCTTTTAAAAGAACTTTAATGTGAGATATAGACTTGCCGATATATATTTAAAGCCTGAAGGATGTTTATATCATTTTCCTCAGTAATTCCATGGCAGTTTATCCTGTGAAACTAATTACAATCCATGGTATCCTATGGAACTTACCTACAAAATATACTAACCAAGATATTCATCATAGCATTATTATAATAGCAAAAATATTGTCAAAAACCTATACATTAAATCTAAAGATATGTGTTAACTTGAAGTATAACCATAAAATGGAAAGCTGTGCAATTGTAAATCATATTCTTAAAAAAATTTAACATCTTCAGAAAACTTATTATTAATTGATAAACAGTATGTAAAACTGAGCACAATATTAATATGTATTTAGTACTTTTAAAAATATTTGCATAGAGCATAATTTGGAAGAAAAAATACGTATGTTAACAGTACAGGCAATACGTATTTGATCTGTTACCACAGAACCATGTCAAACAAAAACACAGATCCAGCATGCACAGGTTTCACTTAACACAATCCTGTGCAAAACTAAGAACTGCCTATAATTTTTTCTGTGTGGTGAGACTGTGGTTTTCTCTTTTTCTTTTTTATTTTCCTAGCTCTCTATAATATACACCTGCTTCTTTCATAATTAGGGAAAGCACTCAAATTACTTGCATTTATAATAGTTCATCCCAGTAAGCTGCTGAATCAGCAAAGATGTTCTTTCATGTGTTTCTCCCCCCTAGCATTAACATGTCCTTCAGTTTCTAACCAAACTAATATTCTCTATCCACTACTCTGCTGTATATTACTATAAACTGAACTGCTCAGATTGGTTAGTGACTAACCATAGTGAAGTATTTGTGCCAAGAAATTTGGATAGTGTTTGTGATAGGCCCCAGTGTAGGGCAGCAGGTGGACAGCACTCAGAAACAGATTTCCCTCAACCATTGTTAGACCCACCATTGTTCCATATCAGGTTCTCAGTACTTACAATTAGCAGGGAAGCTTTGTATGGAGAGGCATAGACTTATTGCTGGGGAGTCATAGAACAGTAGACTAGGATCAGGAAAGTAGAATTTGGTTTCCTCATTCACTAATGGGCATTAGTGCCCTATAGTCCAAAGTGTTTGGTCATGGTACTTATTACACGGAATTCTGGGAAGAGTGGTTTTATGGGAAGTTGTTTATATGCTTAGAGAACAAGGCTACAGTGACACTAGAGGCAGTGTCCATGTTGTCTTTTATTCCTATATTTCTGAAGAAAGACATTCAAGACTTGCTCTTCCCCTACTTGTCTCAGACATTTTTGACCCCAATTTTTAACCTGAGGGCCAGCTTTTAGAGACATTTTACATTTTGAAACTTTAAAAATATGTATTAAATAATGAGACTGGTAATGCATTCCAATTAATACTATTGTTATTAATAAGATGGCATTTTAGTGTAGTGTAATAATAAATGTGTATACAAATCTGCACCTGAAGTTCAGACCCTACTTAGGGAAAAAAATCACATTGATTACATTAAATCTTAAAATTATGGTGACTTTGTAATAATTTGTTTACTCAAATGTGATATTCAATGACCAAGAATCATGGCACCGGTATTCAAATTTTACATCATAAATGTTTTAAAAATAGCATTGTCAAATAGTTTTATTGTTAAAAATCAGGTATTGCAAAAAAAAAAAAATCAGGTATTGCAAGGAGTTTGGCTGTAACTAACCTGGACAAGACTTTAAATGATCATGAACGGGAGAGGGGACAACCCTCCTAATTCATACTAGATATGTTGCTATTTTTCAGTCTCTGAAATAAGTTATTTTGTGTGGTTAATAGGTAAGAAAAGAATTTGACCTTTTCTTTTTGGACTTTGAGTTTGGGCAAGGTAGTAAACATGCCCCGTTGTCAAACTTTTAAGATTTTCACATTTCCCTTTACTATTCTTATATTTACTTATCAACAAATTGACAAACCTGACTTGTACTGAGGTATCTCAGTGCCCTGGGAAAGCAGAGACCTCATTATCAAAGCATTATGTTTCTATAAACTCCTTATCAGACTAGGAATAAATGAGAAGCCGTAACTGACCTTGATACTGATTTCTTACCTGGAATGTGTTTAATGAACCTTCCTGGATCTAATTATGAGTTTCATTGAAACTAATCCAGCAACCGTGGTTAACAAAAAAGCAGACATTAAGATTTGTGGTTTTTTTAAAAAATAAATAGGCTTTTGTATAGCCGAAATTATTGCAAAAATTATTCACTCACAAAGGATATCCTTCGGTTTCCGTGTCAAAGTAAAGCTTTGCTAATGGTTCTCTAGTTTATTGCAAATGAAAAGGGAATACAACCAGAGACAAGAGATTGTCAAGAATTGGCAAGTCACAGAAAAAGATAAAGTATAAAAGAACCTAGAAATCATAGAATTACAACTGAGTTCTGTTCAGTACTACTAAGCAATTGTCTTCCCTTACCACAGTAGCCTCTGGGAATGTCTCTGTTATATATATACATATATACATATATACATACATACATACATATATATAGCACAGTATTGATCTTTATAACAATAATTCTGAGAAAATCCAAAGGTATGTTCACTGTTTCCTTCCTGCTAAGAAGGGAGGAAAGGAGATACATGTATTTTAGAAAGATTGTCACTTGAGAGCATTGTGATAAAAGTGACAATTGTGCTGTCTGTTATTATGAGACAGATTTGTTTGTCCTAAATGGAAAGATGTCTGTCAGAGGTATTATGTGGTAATGCAAATTATGAACAGTACATATAGCATCCCATTTTTATTAAAAAGAAGAAAAAACTATGTAGTAGACAACTGGGTGACTTCTGCAAACTGTTAGTACTTAAATATGGATGATGGGGTAATATATGACTTTTTCTAAATTACATACTTCTATAATTTTTTTAATTTATAAAATGAGCAGGTATGTCTTTCCTAATCAGAAGAAACAAAGGTGACAAAATAACCAGCTTATTAAAGGCAGAAAAGTACTTAATACGTCTTAGAAAAATTTGATGCTTGTTTAATGGGTAAGTGAAATTTAAACTTATGTGGAATGTCTCCCTACCTTGAGAATGCAGATAAATGATTTCTGTACCTGATGCTCAGGCACTCTTTACAAGAAGTATGCCACTTGAGTGTCAGTGACCCTTGGTCATTTTCCCCCAGCCATTCTAATGAACTTACATATAAAACACTATTGGGGTTTTTGAGAAGATTTTGTTTCTCTGACCCTACCCTCTAATTCTTTGACCTTGTATTTGCTTGTGGTATATTATGAATGGGAGAATCAGTATTTTTCTCTTACAAGCAAATTTATTTTTGATTTAAGATTTAGATTTTAAACCTACTGACTGATATTTGAAAGCATAATCATACTCTTCAGTCACAGTGTATTGTTTGTAATTGGTACAATTTATCTGATTCAGGTGCATTGTGGCCAGGTATGAAACCTGAAAGTGGTTTAATTCAGACTCCATCTCCAAGTCAACACAGTGTTCTTACCTGCACTACAGGGCTAACCACAAGCCAGCCAAGCCCAGCACATTATTCTTATCCCATTCAAGGTAAATAGGCATGGTTGTGTGTGTGTTTTGAACTTACTGTTTTACGTTTTTAACCTACCTATCTCCAAACAAATTGGGTAATACAGGAGCTCTGACTTCTAAAATAGAATGGGGTGATGTTTGCATTTGTGCATGCATTTTGTGTTAGGCAAACCTGTACCTGAGAGTGTGGTTTGGTAGTAGTTTAGCCTTTGAATGTGAACTGTTTCGTAGAATTGAAACCATCTCTTTTGCATGTTGATGTCCATAAAACCTCTCTGATTTTGTTCTAGTCTGTTCTTGGTGGAATTTTGTGCTATAAATGAGAAGAATGCTCCATAGGATAGTACATGCTGACTTCTTTTATATGAAGTCCAAATAGAGTAGAATGTGAGGTGGATGCTGCTTTTCTGCTGTTTTTGTCATCCTTACTTCCCCACTTAGTGATAGTACTTTCCTTCCTCAAAAGCAGTCTTATTTCTATTTCATGATTAAAAGCAAAACATTAAAGCTTGAATTCTAAACATCTTCACTTTTGTGAGTTCATCTTCTAAAAAGTCAGGATTCCGTCCAAGATTATTAGGAGTGAAGATGAAAAAACTCAAAAAGCCATTGTGGAACTAATTCACTGTCCTTAAATCCAGTACAGACAATTTGTCTTTGCTGCAGATTGTAAATTAATGTACCTGGCTTCTCATCAGCCTCCTTTCTCCTGATGTCTCTCAGCCTTTTAATTTTATTCCTTGTAAAATGGGTGCTAAAGGGCTGACAAGGTGACAAACATCTGATTAAGATTTGATGTGAACTTAAAACTTACCTTAATATAAGAACTTTGGTGATTAAAAAAAAAACACTTTAAGATTATATGAAACAAAATACTTGATTTTTAGTTACAAGTAGTTTCCAGCTAAATAACTTGAGAATTACTTCTGCTTGAAGTAGTAGGTACTGCAGCTGGCCACTATACTAACACCTTGCTCTGAGATACTTTAATCTCTTACATTGTGTACTTGTATCTCTAACATTGTGCCTCCTTTTTCTTTATTTATTTTCCATTTTTTCTTTGTCCCCTCTCCTTTCTTTCTAAAATGGGAACCAACTTGGTGGGAAAAAATCAAGAGCATGACTTTGTTTTTTGATAGGGAACAACACTTCACAAATTTGGGTGTCACCCTTAGCAGGGGCTGTACTAATCTTCTCTGTATCGTTCCACCATTAGTATCTGTGCTGCCAAAGCAAACACCAAGAACATAACCTTCGGTCATCTCTGCCCCTTTCATTTTTATAAAGTAGGTTGATAGGCCTTTTGGGTCTAACTACATCAGAATTTTGACATTAAGATAAAATAGACATTAAGATAAAAGCTGACCATGAGGGAATCAATTTTGCCATTTATTCTGATGAGAAAATGGTGAAAAACAAGTTTAAACAATTGGTTAAAATGAAATATTAGTAGTATGTAGGACTTTGAATTCCCTGGGTTCTCCACTCACAGTATCATTCTTCTCAACTCCACTTTGCATTTCCTTTTGCGTGGATGGTGACTATTAGCTATCTGGAACTGCTTCTTTCCCTTTATGTACCTGACTACCCATTCACCCCACAGAATACAAACAAGTAACACTGTACTGATATAAAATTTTAAGGTGTCAAAATAGCAATGTCACCCTTATCGCATTCCAGTTGATAGCAACCTTCCCTAGGGAAGTTATCTCAAAAACTAAATTTTCCTTTTGACTTGAACAACTCTAATCAAAATCTTTTTATTTTATACCTTAGTGGTACCAAATAAAGAACTGCCCTTAATTACATGTTCATGTAACCCATTAATTAAGTAGATCTGACTTCTCTTTATCAATCTCTTTCAAAATTCTGTGACTCTGTTACCCAATCTCTGGTTATTTCTTCATTGGGAGGATTTAAGTAATTAATATTTATGGCAAATTTAATTTCAGAAATTTCAAAATTAATTTTAACTAAAATTAAGTTTAATTCAGACCTAATGCTTTTGGACTCATTATTGGTAATACATTATAAATTCTCTGACAGATTTATTTTTATTAATAGACTTTATTTTTTAGAATATTTTAGAATGCAGAAAAATTGAACAGATAGTACAAAGAACTATATATTCCTCCACTCTGTACATTGTTTCCCCTACTTTTGATATCTTATATTAAAATGGTGCATTTATTACCATACGTACTTTATTAATGAAGTCCATGGTTTAAAGTCCTGAATGTCCCTTTCCTGTTCCAGTATCCCATCTAAGATAACCATGTTACATTTAATTGTTATGTCTCTTTAGATTACTCTTGATAGCAGTTTCTCAAACTTCCCTTGTTTTTGATGACCTTGACAGTTTTGAGGAATACTGGTTGAGATACACTGTAAGATAGATACCCTGCTATTGGAATTTGTCTGATTTTTTTTGTTTGTTTGTTTTCATGATTAGTCTGGGATTGTGGATTTTTAGGAGGACGATCATAGAGGTAAAACGCTTATTACCCATCATGTCATGTCAGCTGTACATATTGTCAGCATGACTTATGACTTAGGATGTTGGCTTTGATCACTTGTTTGAAGTAGTATTTGACAAGTTTCTCGCCTGTAAAAGTAACTGTCTCTCTCACCCACCTTCATTTCCATACTGTATTCTTGGGATAGAAGTCACTGTGTGCAGCACATAAAGATTTATGTTCCTCTTCCTTTAGAGTGGTGTAGCTACATGGTATATTTGGGATTTTCCGTACAGGATATTTTTCTTTTCTCCCCTGTTTATTAGATTTAATAAATCACATGTTTATGGGTTTATTTATTTTTACCTTTTAGATTGTTATTCAGTACTGCTTATTTTATTGTTCCAGCTTACATTGGGAACTCTTTCAGTTGGCTCCTCTGCCTTTTGTCATATGCCTATCAGTATAGCGTTTTCTGTTTTGTTGTTTCATTAGTACTTCCTTATTTTCTGGTATTACCAAATGCTCCATGCTCAGCTTGTGTATTATTTACCTAATACAAGTCCTATTACAAGCCATTTCTCTGTGGAGTCCTAATTATCTTTATTGAGGAGAATGGTATTAGAATCCAAAATTAAGACACTAGGTGTGTTCATTGCTATAGGAGTGCAATTTCTTGTAGACTCTCAGCTGATGCAACACAGAAATGTATGTGTATATACACATATCTATAAAAATATTTCAATATATGACAATCTGTGTCAGCAAGTTAAACATGAGTTCTGACTAATGTCTCTGGCTCTAACCCATTATCACATGGATCATTCTAGACTTGCAGATCTGTAAATTTTGACCCCAGTAATGTGAGAAACCTTGCTCAGGAAAGTTTTACTACTGTTATTTACTAAGCTCCTTGAAGGAGGTTTCATTTGTGCATTGACACAAACCAAGAACATAAACAGTATTTATAAATACTAGGCACTTAGTAATTGTTAAAAAATTGGGCAGTTGACCCACTGGGCATACTTTTTAACCAAAATATGCACAATTTTTATTAGATCAGAAAAGGAATGAGTTTTTGTCCATTACATTGGTAACATACTGAGAATTTTAGGAAATCATCTCTCTACTTCTTATTATCTCCTAATATAGCAGAAAATAACATTTTTCCTTCATAATTGGTCCATGCAAGACATGCTGCTATACATGAATCCCACAAGTATTTATTAAGCATTGTCTACTGTATGCAGGTGTTTTGATAGATATTAAGATAGAGGCTAGTGGGGAGCTTACAGACTAGAGGGAGACAGAAATCAAGAAAGTAAATAAAAAAATACTCTGAAAGGAATAAAGAATAGATTATTGTCATTGGGAAAATAGAAAAGAGTTAGTTTTAATAAAGAAGCTAATAAAGTCTCTCTGAAATAGACATTTTGAGGAGACTCCATCATGCCAGAAAGGTAAGAGGAACTACCAAGAAGAACAACATAGGCAGAAAGCAGCATTGCAAAGGTCCTTGAGTGGGAAAAAGTTTGTTATAAATAACTTGAAGAAGACTGGTATGATCAAATGTGATAGACAGGCGTATATAAAATGAGAGGGGTGGGTAGAAACAAAATCTTGTGCAAACTTTTATGTTCCATTAGCCCCTTGGATTAATCCTTAAATTTAACTGTGCCTCTTAACAATTTTCTGGTTGAAACTACCTGCCCATTGACTGTATTAGGTGCATCTCTACTGGGACATGGTTCTCAGAAGCCTTTTCTTTTCAACAGTTGTGAAGCTCCATTTTAGAACTCAGGAGTAGGGAATCATAAAGCAATTGGCCATCCTGTTGACATTAGGAAAGCTCATGCTCTTTAGATATATTACAAGTGGAATTTCCACTTGAATGTTAGTTGATTTCTTTTTATTTGTCCTTTTCATTGCATATTTCATTGCTGCTGCCTTTGTTCCGTAAATCTACAATTAAATGTTGTTTTATTTAGACCTACATACATATGTTCATGCAGGATGATCAGTAGTTTTTGAGGTACCTGGCTTTATAGTCATACCTGGGGGGATTTGGGGGTAAGCATGCGGAAATGAAACTGAATGAAAGATGGGTTTAGCCTGGATTCAGTGATGGTTACAAGAGCCCAGATGAATATTGTTTCTTTAATTATTTTCTAACTTCTCTCGCTAGAATTGAAAACTCCATGAAGGCAGGTAATTTTTCTTGTTCACCATTTGTTCTACGCACATAGGAGACCCTGGTTTACTGAATGCATGAATAACACGAGTTATTATTGAGCCTACTTTCCTATTCAGCAGGCCAACATCTACTCAGCAGGCGAACGTCTCCTATAATAGAAGCCACTATTTAAGAGAAATTTATGATTTTTAGTATGGTTCTTATTTAAAAATTCAGTAGCTAGATTTAAAAACTAACTAATGAAGTCATAAAACTTCCTGGCAAAGACAATAAATGTACAGGTATGGCTAATTGTTTATAAGGTCTTCCCTTTTATCGCCAGTTCATTTCATTAAGTGGTCAAAAAAACTGTTAAATTTGGGCCTCCCCTGGTGGCACAGGCAGTTGAGCACTGCGCAATGAAGCTGTCCACAGGCTCTGCAGTGCCGGTTCGATCCCGGCTGATGGGCGAGGGTCCCACATGGCACAGCAGACCTCTCCTGTCACGCCCACTGCTCCCCTCAGCAGTGTATTTTGTCAGTCTGCCTGTTCTGTCCCCCGCTCTGTCTCTGGTGAATACTCTCACCCTCCCGTGCATCTGGTCTGTTCCTGATTCTTGTATAAATAAATAAATCTTTTTAAAAAAATTGTTAAATTTGTAAAACCATCTTGTCAGTAAGATTACCTTTTTCCCATGTGTGTAAAGATCAGATATGAATGATTTGTACCTCTGGACATTCATTGTTGACTAAGAAAGTAGGACAGAATAAAAGTTCAGTAAGAGGGAAAGAGAAGTATATACTAGAACCAGAGCCAAAGAAAAGTCTAGCTAGAGGGGGACTTTCCTGGGAGAGGAAAATTTAAGAGATTAAATAAGTTTTTTCTTTCCCACCTTAGATCACCTGTGTTCAGTCTGTTTTCTTGCAGTACTGTCTGGCATAATGTATTGATAATATAATTTGGGATCTATAAAGAATTCTGTTCCTAAAGGCTGATTTAAAACCTACTTAGGGCCTCCCTGGTGGCGCAAGGCGTTAAGACACAACCGATGAAGTTACCCGCAGCCACTGCAGCAAGAGTTTGATTTCCCGGCCAGGGAGCTACCCACATGGTGCAGCAGACCTCTCCTGACTCGCCCTCTGCTTCCCCTCAGCAGTGTATTTCAGTCAGTCTGCCTGTTCTGTTCCCCACTCTGTCTCTGGTGAATCCTCTCACCCTCCACACTTCTGGTTTGTATACCAGTTCTTGTATGAATAAATAAATAAATCTTTAAAAAATAAATAAATAAAACCTACTTAGAGTATAATAGTCATTTCTTAGTACCTCCTCTTAGGAAAAAGGAGTTAAACCACAGCAGAGAAGAAGGTGTATATTTATGGGGGAAAAAGACTATCTGTATTTTCTTTCATTTAGTAGTTGGTTTAAGAAAGTAAGCACTGAAGAGTATTTTAGTTCTCCTGGGGATGGAATTATAGTAGAAAAGAAAATCTCCCTGAATAGTCATGAAGTTTGATCCCTTATCAGGGTAGTAGATTAAGAACTGGGGGTTCAATTCATCATCTTGACTTAGCTCCATAACTGTAGACAAATTAACTCTCTTTTGTCCTAGGTTATTCATCTGAAAGCCAGGGTTGCAGCAGTAGGTGTTCCTTTTAATTTATCTTATTCTCCTCTAGACTTTATTCTATGCAGAGTACTGTTGGGGAAAGGATAAAAATTCTCTGATTTTGACCAGCACACTCAAGTTTTTGCTGCATTTGTTCACCTGCCTTGTTCTAATGAGGTTTTCCTGTTAACTTTTCCTCTAGAGGACTTTGTTGCTATGGGATAGTCAAATAGTCAAGTCTACCTGATGTCCTTATGGTGTGTGTGACTGTAGTAGGAACCATGTCAAAGAATGCTTATAAAGAGAGGAGTTCAAGATCAGTATATTGTCCACTTGTCCAAAAGTCACTGTGAAACAGGGGCATGAAGGGCAAAAGGGCAGCAAGGCAGTAGGTTGGATGGAAGGATGGAATGGCCAGCTGCCTGCCTGGGCTCTCAGACCAGAGACCCAAAAGGCCAAAAATCAAAACCAAGGGCTATAGCCTAATAAACCAAGGGCTGTAGCCTAATAAAAGGCAGTGCCCAATAAGAGGATCAGGCTCCAGGAACAACAGTCATGGGGTTTATTTTACAAACAGGGGAAACAAAGGGCTTACTATATCCACAGGTGGCCAGCTGCCTCACCCAGATAGCATCAGTGATGGTCGCCAATAACCAGGAGTGCTGGACAGCACTGGCCAGTAGTGATGGTCACTACTGGTCCTACAGATGTGGTGTCAGAGACACCCAGTGTTAACAGCTCTTTGTGAATTGTCGGGTTATACCAACAACAAACAGCACTTGGAGACACCAGGCCCAGAGCCTCTGGGGCTCCTTTCAGGCAATGTCAGGAACAAGACCAAAGGTCCAGTCTGACAGAAGTCTTAGGCTTCTCTTCCCTCCTTAGTGATTGGCTGCTGGATCCTTCTTTTCCTCTTTCTTTGGAGGCCAGGAACAGAATCTTCCCCTTCTTCTTCCTTTGGAGGCTGGAACCATCTTCTTTTCTCCAGGTGCTGGTGTCTGTCTTTTCTTCAGAGGCTGGCATCAGCAGCTCTCCTTCAGGGGCTGGCACCGTCTCCCTCTCAGCTCCCTCCAACCCTGGCTTACATCCTCTCTCAGGGTGCCCACCCACAAGTCTGATTGGGCCATTTTTCGATCCCGTGGCTGATTGGACCATTTACCTATCAGCCCATAGCACCTGATTGGTCCATTCCACAATCCAGGAAGTGCTCTTTACATAAAAGGGCTCAGAGGAGCAACTGCCCCAACTGACTTGTGGTGAGAGGGTAGGTCCTGGTAACAAAAGTCTGATTGGACCATTTAGCTCATAGCAGGAAGTACACTGTTACATAAATGGTCTCTGAAGAGCACCTGCCTCAACTGACAAAAAGGCAGTTACTGGGTTCTGAGAAGCATTTGCCACAAATGACTGGTGGTGAAGCAGCAGGGTGAAAGAACCTCACTGCTCATGCTGCCTCCTACTGCTAAGGTGGCTGGGTTCTGGTAACAACTGTAGCAAATACTAGTTACTGAGATTTGGACTGAAGGCCTGTTAGAATCTGGTAGCAGGAAATTAAAAACTTAACAAGGCAGGCAGCCTATGTAGCATATAGTATACACTTTTACCCAGACAGAATAATATTGAATATTTTTTTAGTTTTTTCAGTCTCATTGGTAAAGTCATTAAATACTAGGTTATGGTGCTTGTTGATCACCATTAACAATCCATTGTTTAAATAGATCCTAAGAAACAATACCAAGCACTTAGAATTTGAAAGACTAGCTCTGTTTCTTAAGATAATTATGTTCATCAGGAAAGGTGGAATTTGGGGCAAGTGACAGATAATCACAGTGTAGGATTTACCAGAGCCCCTGTTGTTTCTACTGATCTGTCAGTAGGTCCTACTGCAGGTGAGTCATTTTTCAACTGCTGGAAGAGATGGATTGATTTGGTTTAACTTCTGATTTTGTTAGTGCATTGTTTATGTAAGAAGAGTTGAGGACTTTAGTTGAAATAGAAAAATGTCTGAACTGTTTTTCTAATCAAGGTATGGCATGCAAAAGAGCAAAACCAGTATTTGTTTCCTTTGTCAATTTTCTTTATCTCCTTGTAGATCTGTTTACTTAAGATACAGTATATATTCAATTTCTTCTAGCCTTTTACATAGTATACTTAATATCGTTTGTATTCTCAATTCCATAGCTTCAAGCACAAATGCCAGCCTGATATCTACTTCTTCTACTATTGCCAATATTCCAGCAGCAGCAGTTTCCAGCGTCTCAAACCAGGTATAGTAATACTTTTGTTCATTCTATTTGATGTTTCATCTACTTTGCTCTTCCTCTTTTCTTTTTATGGTCAATATGCCAATCTAACCAATTTCTGGATGACCAATTTCTGGTGTATTTTCTCAGGCTTTCATCTAGTTTCCCTCATTCTTCTACTAAGACTCCGAATGTTAAGATTATAGCTGCTCCCTCATCTACTATATCTACTCCTTTCCCTGTCCTCTAGGGAAATTATCCTTTAGGGTAGGGCCTTATTCTTTATATTCCCAGAGTTCAGAAAAATGTCTGGCACACACATTAAAGGCACATAATAAATATTTGTGGGATGTGTAAATCTCCACTTTTTGTTTAGCCACCCCGGTTTAGTTTTGATCACAGTTCTACTAACTCTTCATGCTTAGAACATCTTCAGTGTTTTAAGGTTTTTTTGTTTTTGTTGTTTTCTCTGAAGCTGTTAATATTATCAACCCTGGCTCCACAGATTTTTTTTTCTCCTGACTGTAATTAACATTCTGGTTCGTATTTTATGTTTGACTTTTTTTGTATTTGTCCATTCTTTTAATTCACAAATATTTATGGAATTCTTACTGTGTGCTTGGTACTCTTCAAGGTACTGTCTCTCTTTCATTGCTTTTCCTTTTGATCCTGTCTTCTATCATGAACAGACTTTGTTTGGTTTTCTACATGATTAGTACTTCTTCCCTAGGAATGTTTAATCGCTCTCAGAATAAATATTTATTGTCTTTAAAATGAAGATTCTATTGCTTAACCTAGATAAGCCTGATAACTACAGGCTTCCTGCTGATTGATGGACACATTTTTTTAAAAATCCTGCTGTTTCCTTAAGTTCTAAGGTTAATCAAAACCACTCTTGCATTTCACTCTGCTGTTTTCTTGTCTTCCAAAACAAAAACCACTTTTCCCAAAGACTTCTTGATTCTTATCATTAACACCAATTTTTAATAAACCTCAGTCTAATAAGACCACACCAGTCATCTTTGGTTTTGTTCTCTCACCTAATACTTCCTTCTTCATTTTTGTGAGCAGTTACTTGTTTCGGTTTTATTCCCCTTTATTCCTGAATTACCACATTTTACTGCTCATCTCTGATTTTCCCATTTGTCCATTTTCTAAAACACTATTTTCTCTAAATCCCACTTTTTATCATGTCACTGAACTGCTCAGACCTTTTGCATTTTTGTTGGTTTAAATTTGATAATCTCCATTTCTTACCCCACATAAACTCTACACTGTTGCCTATAGACTCTAAGTGATACTCCTTAACCAGTCATCAAGTCCTGCAAAGAGCTTATGTTTCAGTCAAATTCAATATCTCTGTGCCTTTAATTAAACCTTTTTAAGGTCTATCCATGTTCTTAACTGCTCTGCCTATTTAGCTCAGAAAAACTCACCACACTCTTCATTGATAGTTTTCTTCCTCTGTGTCCCACTCCTTTGACATATAATTTATTGTCATTATGTTGGACTTTTTTTTTTTTTTTTTTGGGTCTTCTCTCCTGGTAGATTTTTAACTTCCTTGAGTTCAGCTTTTCTGGTTTATTCTTTAATATTCCATACATACACACACGTTGTGAATTATATTTGGCTTATGGTAGATCCTGCATACTCTTTATAAGTAATTGGTAATTTAGTAATTGGTAATCAATCTATAAGTAATTTAGATCAATAAGTTTCTTCCTCCTTATCACCAGCATTAGTATCAATGGAAAATTTTAAAGTTTTTTTTTTAGATTGATTTATTTATGCATACAAGAGCTGGGGTGCAGGCCGGAGGTGCAAGGGGTGAGAGGATTCACCAGAGACAGAGTGGGGAGCAGAACAGGCAGATCTGCTGAAATCCCCTGCTGAGGGGAGCAGTGGGCAAGACAAGAAAGGTCTGCTGTGCCATGTGGGTCACCTCCCTGGGAGATCAAAACACTGGGGTTAGCATCATAGTGCTGAGACTTAACCCTTGTGCCACCAGGGCGGCCCCACAATGGAAAATTCTATTTATTTATTTATTTTAAGATTTATTTATTTATACAAGCACTGGGGTACAGTAAGAAGCGCTGGAGGGTGAGAGAATTCACCAGAGCCAGAGCGGAGAACAGAACAGGCAGACTGACGAAGTGCACTGCTGAAGGAAGAAGTGGGCGGCAGAAGAGGTCTGCGTGCCATGTGGGACCCTCGCCCAGTGGCCGGGGATCAAACCAGCGCTGCAGAGGCTGCGGGCAGCTTCACAACCCAGTGCTCAACCGCTGTGCCACCGGGGAGGCCCAGTGGAAAATTTTAAAGCTCTGCATCATACCCATTTATTTTTGCAGCTTTATTAAGATACTGTTTGGCATAAATAAACTGCACAGATTAAAAATGTATAATTTGTTAAGTTTTGACCTGTCTCCATGAAACCACCAAAAGTTTCCCCTATATTTAAAAGAAACTTTACTTCTACAGGAAATTTGCTGTTTTATTTATTTATTTGTTTGTTTAGTTTAAAGATTTAGTCATTCATGCATCCAAGAACCGGGGTACAGCCCAGATGTGCGGGAGGGTGAGAGGATTCACCAGAGACAGAGCGAGGAACAGAATGGGCAGACTGACTGAAACACACTGCTGAGGGGAGCAGCAGGCAAGACAGGAGAGGTCCGCCTCGCCATGTGGATATCTTGCCAGCTGGCTGGGATGAAACCCACACTGCAAAGGCTGCAGACAACCCCACAATGCTGCGCTCAACTGCCTGAGCCATCAGGCAGGCCTGAAACTTGATGTTTTAAATAGAAAAAGACAATCAATTTTTAAACTGGAAAACTTTAATGTAGGATATTCATTTTTTTTAATCTTTCCTTAGAAGCACTACCATCAAATGCCATAGTTTGTAAAACTTCTTGAAGTATAGAATCTTTCCTTCAAAAATTCCATGCAGAAATATATGCAGAAGTTTAGTACCTACATAAAGTAGAAAAAAGAGCTATTGTAGAAGAAAAAGAGGTGTATGTAGAGCACACAGGAACTTTTCCTCTCAGCTTTCCCCTCGTTCCAATGATGGCCTCCGAGGCATCTCCTCTGGACTGTTAAGTTTCCACAAAATGAATTTTGAAAATCATGGGTTTAGGTGGAAGACAAATAGGTAAATGAGAAGTTAAATAAATGTTTTAGAAATATAAGTAAGAGGGACATGTGAGGCCTATGTGTTAAAAATTAATGTTATGATCTTTTTAAGTGTCTTATTTACCTCTCTTATTCCCTTTGGCCTACAGGACTATCCCACCTATACTATCCTTGGCCAGAGTCAGTACCAGACCTGCTATCCCAGCTCCAGCTTTGGAGTCACAGGCCAGACTAACAGTGATGCTGAGAGTACCACATTAGCAGCAGCCTCATACCAGACAGAGAAGTCTAGTGTTATGGTCCCCACACCTGCAGCACAGAGACTTTCCTCTGGTAAGCACTGGGGCTTATAAAGACTTTGACTTAAAGGTAGTACCAACAGGTGATGGTGAAGATTATTCTGTTTTGGGCTCAGTCACTATAAACCATGCAATAAAGAAACCCTCACTTTTTCTTTCAGGTGAGGGCTATTTTAATATTGGTGCAGCTCTTAATGAACCATTGGCTCACTGAATATAACACCTGATACTGTGAACAGAAACGTACCAAGAATGTCTCCTCCCACTCTGCCCTTCCTGTGGCTTTAATAAGCTTTTTATAGGGAACTTGAGAAGTTTGAAAGTTTTGTAAAAATTGGAAGACTGGTTTTAGCCTGTGTATATTTTAGATGTACTAAGACCTCAGAGCAGTGGTTCTTAACTTTTTCTGTGCGGTGGAGCTTTAAGTTTCTGAGGAAAACTGTGGTCCTTTGCTCCTTTGCCCCCTATGTTGAACATATAAAATTCAAACTACAAATTTGGGATGTTAAGAGCTTTGAAATGTATAAATGAATTATGATGTCCAGGTTTAAAAAACACCCTGACACAAAGACTTTGTACACATTTAATAGACATATGCATACACTTTTCATCTTTATTTTTCACGAAAATTTGATAGTTCCTGTAACTTGAGGAAGGACTGTTTATCATCAGCACTCATGTATTTTTTTTTTAAAGATTTATTTATTTATTTATACAAGCACTGGGTACAGTCAGAAGTGCAGGAGGGTCAGAGAATTCACCAGAGCCAGAGGGGAGAGTAGAGCAGGCAGATTGACGAGGTACACTGCTGAGGGGAGCAGCGGGCGTGGCAGGGGAGGTCTGAACGCCATGTGGGACCCTTCGCCCAGCGGCCGGGGATCAAACAGGCGCTGCAGAGGCTGCGGGCAGCTTCGCAACCCAGTGCTCAACCGCTGCGCCACCGGGGAGGCCCATTCATGTATTTTTTTAAAAGTATTCTACCATCAGCAAAAGCAGTTTTCTGTGCATCTTTTACCAGTCTTCTAAGTAAATTGTCATACTTGACATTTATTTAACTTGTCATTCTTGAAATTTATTTAACTTGTGAATTCATTTCTCAGTATTGTTTTTATAACAATTTTAGCTTTTTTTTTAACAATTTTAGCTTTTTACTAAAGGACATTCTAAAACAGACTGAAGTTGTCAGCCATCTTCAACAGTTAACAACTCATTAGCAATCTTGTTTCAACTATATTTCATCTAAGTCCCTCCCTGAATTCCAGGTATCTTATCTCTAAAGGATAAATACTTGTTAACATAATTATAGTGCCATTATCCCACCCAAAATAATTTAGCAATAATTTCTTAATATCATAAAATACCAAAAGTTTTCATATTTATTTCCAATTTTCTCAAATGGTAGGAATTTTGTCTTTCTTTTACAGTTTTGTTTAAACTAAGGTCCAAATAAAATCCATATATTAGGAGTAGTGGATATGCTTATCTCACTGGAAACTGGATTGTTTATCCCATACCATTTCCCAGTGTGGTTTTTGCCAATTACATGTTTGGTATTTATTATGGCGATTAGATGTCCTGCTGCCTTCTGTATTTTGTTGTAATATGGTAACTGAATCTAGAGCAGTTGTCTTCAATTAGAGGTAATTTTGCTGCATCCCATTCCCTCCCCATTCCAGGGACATTTGGCAAAGTATGGGAACGTTTTTTGTTTTCACACTACATGGGTAGTGCTACTGGCATGTAGTGGGTAGAGGCCAAGGATACTGCTTAGCAAATATAGCCTGCATTGCATAGGACATCCTTCATAACAAAAACTTACCTGACCCAAAACATCAATTGTGCCAGGTTAAGAAACTGATCTAGAAGTTTGATTAGATTCGTGTTCTTTGGTATTTTGTTCTTTGACAGAACAAATTCATGGCAGGCATATGTGTTTCACCTCTGTGATATTAGGAGCTATTGATATTCAGTGTGTAGGTCTACATTCACAAATTGCTTGGGAAAAAATTGGTTTTCCAGTCTTTATTCCTGTTCCTGCTCTGGTCTTAGAGCTAACTACTGTCAATACATATCTCATTTTTTCCAGGAGACCCTTCTGCAAGCCCATCTTTGTCCCAGAGTACACCAAGTAAAGATGCTGATGATCAGTCCAGGAAAAATATGACTGGCAAAAACCGGGGCAAGAGGAAAGCTGATGCCAGCTCTTCCCAGGACAGTGAATTGGAAGTATGGGAAGAAACTCATTTGAGTTAACTATTTAGTTTTTTCTCATTTCTTAAGTTTATCAAGTGTATATCTGAAATTCATGAAGATAATCTCATTCTGTGTTATGTGCTCTTTGATTCCAGGGCAAAAGAAACTGAAATGGCCTAGTGAAAAGAGAAATGTGGAAAATAGGTTTTTTCTATTCCTAGACGTACCATATTGCTTTCCATTTTTCACCAAAAGCATTGAAATTTTTTTTCAAAATCTAGTTAGCTAGTGGCTTCTTTTTAGGGAAAGAACAGACTATTCCCTATAATTACAGAAGAGAACAGAAGGAACAGTGCATCATATTCCAAAAGTGAAGAGTGTCACAGTGTCATACTGTTCTCCATTTTAAAATCTTAAAGTGAAATGAGAGGACTGTGGTGCTTTAGTCCAACTTTCTGTGAAACATGCAACCAGATCTGGTAACTTATTAATGAGATTGGCATGCATTCTGTGGCTAAGCATTGTATGCATTTCTTAGGGTCATACATTTTGCTTCATTATCAAAGACTAGGAAGTCATACAAAATGCTAATTTTAATAATAGTGAAGTTTTTTAAGCCTTTTGTTTTCCAGTTTCAATTTTTCTGTAATGTGTTCACTTAATAAGGGAGAATGACTTGATTTAAAAATGAGTCCTTTGTTAGATATTCTTAAGACATAGGTAAATTGAGACTGTTTTGAGCCTCTTTGTTCCTAGCAGAAAAAGGGAAGGAAATAATTCTAAAGTCCTGATATATTTCTTGTGGAAACCTGCGAACTCATTTTTTTTATTGGGGTATAATGTTGGGATGTTTTTTGTTATTGATTCAACCTCCTTTCTGGTTACAGGCCTATTCGAAATTTTTGAAATTTTTTCTTGAGTTAGTTTTGGCACTTTGTGTATTTCTAAGAATAGATCCATTTCATTTAAATAATACTGTCCCCATTTTCATTTCTGATTTTAGTAATTTAGATCTTCTCTCTTTTCATTCATAGTAAATCTAGCTGAAAGTTGTCGATTTTTAATTCTTTTTCAAAGTATCAACTTTTGGTTTTGATTATTTTCTCTATTATTTTTCTGTTCTCTTTTTTAAAATCTCTAATCTTTATTTTTTCCCACCTTCTGGATTTGGGTTTGGTTTACTCTTTTCTAATTCCTTAAAGTGTACAATTATGAGATCTTTTTTACTATATGTATTTACATCTATAAATGTCCCTTTTAGTACTACTTTTGCCGCAACCCATAGGGTTTGGTATGTTGCATTTTCATTTTTATTCATCTGAAGTTATTTTCTAATTTCACTTGTGATTTGTTCTTTGATTCTTTGATTAAGATTGTGTTGTTTAATTTTCATGTACTTGTGAATTTTCTAGTTCTCCTTTTTGTTGATTTCTTGTTTCAGTCTATTGTTTTTAGAAAAGATGCTCACTCATTTTTTGTATTTTCCTCCTTCAGCGGGTATTTCTGTGGGACTTGGATGAAACTATCATCATCTTCCATTCCCTTCTTACTGGATCCTATGCCCAGAAGTATGGAAAGGTAATTTGAATCTTTTTTCCTTTATTGTTACTGACCCTCTCTTGACTATGTGGGCAAAAATCCAAAGTCACTTTCTCTGCTACCTCTGTTTTATCCTATTGGTTTTTCACTTCCCACGTTTTCACTTCTCACACTTCCCACATTTGCCTGATGGCTTGTGCTAGGCTGGGTTTGTGGTCAGACACAGTTGATGATAAAGCTAAAGACTAGACCTAGGATCAGTGCAAAAGCTGAATGTATTCAGGAGTGGTATTTTGTAAGACTTAAGTATGGAATGAGGCTAAAAATAGAATGGAGTCTCAGGATTATGTATTCTAAAGACTGATTGTTATCTCTTTATCACTTCTAAAACCCAAACTAAGGATTTTATTTAGCTGAATATGTGCCAGATATATGTAAATAAATACAGATAAAATATAATTTTTTTTTAAATTACATACCTTCTTTAACTATATCAAACAGAATTTGACTTGTTTTAGACAACAGTTTTGATAGAAGACTGAGCTAATGTTGAGATTAAGGTGAGTATTTCTATACTAAGTTATTTCCAGGCTCTTGTTCTTCAATATCTGTGAATACATTTTTTAAGAATATCTGCTTCCTGGGCCTCCCTGGTGGCACAAGGAGTTAAGCACAGCACTATGAAGCTATCCGCAGCCACTGCAGTATAAGTTCGATTCCCGGCCAGGGGGGTGACCCACATGGCGCAGCAGACCTCTCCTGTCGCACCAGTTGCTCCCCTCAGCAGTGTGTTTCAGTCAGTCTACCTGTTCTGTTCCCCACTCTATCTCTGGTGAGTCCTCTCACCCCCTACATCTCTGGCCTGTACCCCAGCTCTTGTATGCATTAATAAATAAATCTTTAAAAAAAAAAAAAGAATATCTGTTTCCTTTGCTCTCATAGTACTCCCAATTATTTATTATTTTCACTAACAACAGGCTTTTAGTATCTAGGCTGGCAAGTTGACGTTAAGTTCCTAAGCTGTATAAGAAAGTATATAAATAAAAGCATACAACTATAAGGCCTGAGGTTCATTTTAAAGCACAAAGTGCTTGATTTTCCAGCAAATATTTTGACTCTTCAGGCTTTGATTACTTAGTTCCTGATTGTTAAGACTGTCAGATAACTGACTGGATATTAAATGCTCTGCCATGTGTGTTGGCAGTGGGAGGAGGGTGTGGGCAGTGAAGATAATGGGAGTGGATATAAACAGCAACAATATTTTAGCAATAGTTAGAATTTCCCTTGAAACAGGGAATTTTCCCCAAAATTTAATTTTTAAAATGGGTTTTCTAATTCTCCCCTCCTACGTCTTGAAATATTTAACTGCCTGCAACCTTCTGTTGCACAACCACTGATTCTCATAACTATGAATGAAATTGCATCAGTAATAGAAGCTCTGTTGTGTTGTTTAATTTTCACATTTTCATATTTGTAAAATATGTGTTGTTTTGATGTTGACTCCAAATAATTTTTAAAAATTTAAAGATAAGAATCAGTGTTGTGAGTACCAAGTGAAGCAAAATTCCCTCTTACTGTCTTCCAGGACCCAACAGTAGTGATTGGCTCAGGTTTAACAATGGAAGAGATGATTTTTGAAGTGGCTGATACACATCTTTTTTTCAATGACTTAGAGGTAAGCATTTTAAATTGTTTATGTGCTTTAGTGAAACATTCTGTTTAATATCTATGTATTGAGCCTGTCCTTGTATTTAGAGGAAGGGTGGTGAGACAGGGGTGGGGATGGAGAGACTAGCTGGCCACTTGGGATTAGAGTCTTGCAGGAATCGTGTCTCGGTTAGGTCCCTACACAGTCTTGGTTTTCTCCTTCAGTTTTTGTTGGGCCATTTGGAAGTAATCTAGCTTTAGAAAAAATGCCCACGCATCAGGCAAAACACTAATACATAACCCAGTGTTTCAGTATTTTCATCTGTCTTCAACTATATATATGAAGTGGGTTTGATTATTTGTCCCAATTATATTTTGACTCTTCTTCAGTTTTACCTTCTTAAAGATAGTCTCTTGATGTGTCAGATCTATTATAAGTGACTGCTTAAGTTATTGCATTTTATGCATAATCATTTTCCATATTTAGGCTACCTTAGATGTCCAAAATCATTTTATAGTTAGGTATAAGGAAGACTAAGAAACACTGAGAGCTTCTTGGTGGAATTTTTTGAATTTGACATTTGAATTCACCTTTGAGGTAACCATGGTAGAGTGGAAAGAGTACAAGATTGAGAGTCAGAAAAGCAAACTGTGGGTCCCAAGTTAGAAAAGTTATCTCCCCATGCTAGACCCCTGTCATGCAGTTATCCTACACAAGGAACTAATAATAGTTCTATCTGGGGAATGAACTGCATTACTGGGACACAGAAGTGGAAAGGAGCAGATTCGTCACTTCTTGTCTTTTCAAATTTTGAACTGTATACTACATAAATTGCCTACTTTTTTTAATAGTGAAAATCTTAAAGTAAAGTAAGATAGTATTTTATAAACAGATGAAGTGATCCTGTTTCTTTTTAAATACAATGTAGTTTTACTCAATAGACAGTTCTCAAAAAACTAGACACTAAACTCCAGTACTTTTTGTCTTAAGTTCCACAGTGCTTTAATCTTCCCTCAACTTATCCTGTTGATAAGTTAGAACATCACAGTTTTTATTCAGCAGACATTTATTGAAAACCTACTATGTGCCAGTAATTATTGCCAAATTGTATTTGTAATGATTTTCTAGACATAGTCCTCACTCAGGACTGAAAGTTCTGTGAAGAATTTGACCTGAATGTGTTCCTGCCCCCCAGGTCAGTGGTTCTCAACTTTAGGGGGCATAAGAATCACCTGGGGAGCTTGTTAAAAATGAAGATTCTAGGACTTCACTCCCAGAAATCCTGACTTAAGTAGGTCTGGGGTGGACCCAAGAATATGCATTTTTAAAAAACTTCCCCAGAGGATTCTGATGCAGGTGGACATCACAGTGCTTCCCTAGATAGTGCCAGAGGAGTGACTGTCAGAGTTAGGTAGCGGGTGGCATTTGTAATAGTAGCATGGACTTGGCGGGAAGAACCTTAGATTCGAATCAGAAGACTCAGGTTCTTTCTTGTTTCTTTCTACTACTCGCCAGTTTTATAATCTTGGGCAGATCATTTCACCTGACTTTTAGAACATGAGGAGATTTGACCAGTATGACCTTTTCTAACTCCTACTAAACTTGAATTTGTAAATTTGTTTCAGTCATTCTTAGTTTTGATACCATTTTCTATAAACATCTGTTTTATGTACAAAAATGTGGTGGGGTATATGCGATGTGAAAGCACTACACTAGACTTGAGGGGTGCAAAGGAGCTTTTAGATATGGGGCCTGCCATTAGAACTTAGAGTGTAGTACAGGACAGACACCTGACAGTGTAAGGGAGCTTGTGCTTATATCTGTGAGCTGCTGGAGAAATGAATTATAGAAAGAAGAGCATAACTCCGCAAGGGTTGGGGTGGTCAAGGAAGATTTCATGAAGACTGTAAATCAAGCCATAAAAGAAGTTGGACAACAAGGGGGGTGAGAGTAAACCCCCTTGCATAAGCGAGATCATAAGGTATTTCATCATCCCACCATTTTTTGTGGTCTTTTTACAATATATCATGGTGATATAGCACTTCTACTCCTGGATTGAAACAGTGTCTGGTTTTGTCTCTTAACAGGAGTGTGACCAGGTGCATGTAGAAGATGTGGCTTCTGATGACAATGGCCAAGACTTGAGGTGATAAAAACAATGGTGTCTTAAACATCAATATGCCTGTTATGGATACAAGGTTTAGAGGAAAACAAAGATGAATAAGACATTGCCTAAACAGAGATCACAATGTACTAGAGAGACAGGGCATAGTTAACAGTGAGAGGCATTATGTGAGGTGACAGTAGAAAACATAATGGGACATTGGAAAGAAAAGTGGGTGTGGGAAGTGGGGTGACACCAACAGGGGAGCAATAGAATTTGAATAGGACATTGAAGAATGGGTAGCTATGATGGAAGTAAGAAAAAGCGTTCTAAAGCAAAGGATATACTGGTTTCTCTTTGGCTGTATTTTCAGTTGGAAAAATATGCTTCTAGACTGATTGGTATTAAATACAAATATACATCAGGAATTTTACCAAGGAAACTTAATTGTGAAGGTCTGATGGTATCAGAAAATAACCTTATGGAAGACAGTCGCAAATATAACAGTCAACGCTAAATCAAAGTGGTCTCAGTAGCAACTGCTTGCTTACTCTTTTCATTTTCTCTCTTGGTTACTGTGTTCTGGCCCAGTAGTCTTCACTAAGAAAGATCCAAAAGTTTATCTAACTTGTATTTAAAGACTTTAAAAAAAAATTGCCACATCTTTTCATGTTAATTTTTTTAAATGTTTCTTTTCATAGGCAAAAAGTCCGTCCCTTTTTTCTACCTAAAATTATGTATTTCTTCCATGAATTCTCAAGTATAGAGCAGAGCTGGACATAGCACTTAGTAAGGACCTCATCTGACAGTGCTGAGGATGAAAAGACTTTCCTTGAGCAGCATCTAGCCATAGGTTCCATTCCTATGAGATCTACTCGTCTCTTTTACTTAAAATCCTGGTCTAAAGTACTTATTATCTACCCTGAACCCTGATGTTTGTTTCTCTTATATGTGTGGCATACCAGTAATAACATATCTTAGTCTTGGCAGCTTTATTTCCTAAGAATCTCACACTCCAAACTCTATTTTGACTTGCAAATAAACCAAGTTGTCTCTAATTCTGTCGATCATTTGAAAATCTACTAATGAAGTAGTAACGCCTTCTAGCCTGAGTAACTATTATTAGTTACCTATTACTATATAACAAATTAACCCAAAATTTAGTAGCTTAATGTGTGGAGATTCCTCAACCTGCTAAAGATGGAGCTTCCATATGGTCCAGCAATTCCATTCCTAGGTATTTGCCCAAAGGCCACAGAAACATTAGGGCACCTGCACCCCTGTTTATAGCAGCACTATTTACAATAGCTAAGCTATGGAAACAACCCAAATGCCCAAAAACAGATGACTGGATCAAGAAGATGTGGTTTATATACACAATGGACTATTACTCAGCAATCAAAAAAGATAAACTCATGCAATTCGCAGCAACATGGATGGAGCTGGAAGGGATCATGCTCAGTGAAATAAGCCAGAAAGAAAGAGAAAAATACCAGATGGTCTCACTCAGCAGGAATTTAGAAAACTTAAATAAGGGACCAGGAAAAGACTGATTATAATAAAGTAAAAATCAAAATCAACAAACAACTATAAACCAGAGACATACTAGGGGGCGGGGGGAGAGTAGGATCAAAACGGGGGAGGAGGGGAATTGTGTGGGGACTATAACCAAGATGAAAATGCATACATTGTGCAAAAATGAAAAATGATGTAAAAATATATAAAATTTTAAAAATATTAATTAAAATTTTTTAAAAATTAGTAGCTTAAAACAAACATTTATCATCTCATAGTTCCTGTAGGTCAGGGACATAACATACAGTGCCTTAACTAGGTAGGTCTGAATCAGGGTCTCTGAGCTTGGATCAAGATAATTGTCTGGAGCAGTCATCCAAAGGCTTGCCTGGCAGTGGAAGCCCTCTCAAGTGTAACTGATAATAGCAGGCCTGAAATCTTTCCCACTTCTGCCTCTGCCTGGAGCAGCTGAGTGTTCTAATCTAACCCTGACGTCTTTCAGAACGAGTGGTCCAAAGTCTAATACCGTCACTTCCACCATATTCTGTTTATATTCAAAGCGTGGTCTGTACCCAAAGGGGACAGAACTAGAAGAAGGAATATCAAAGAATTTGAGGGCATATTTTTAAGCAAACACATTGACCCTTGGACTTAATAAAGCAGCTGACATGTCACAGAGGGAGAACATCTCTGTTATCTTACTACTGTCAGTATTTTGGGTTATTTCTGTCCATTATATTTTCATGAAAACATACCCTCTCTCAAGTCAGCCTTTAGGGGATACTGGTACTTGAATTGTTCCCACCTCTTTTTCCTTCCGTCTCCATCCTATCTTTGATGGAAGTGACAGTGAAATGGAGGACTAATGAAGGATCAACTCTGACCTTGCAGATTTAAGGAAAAGATACTTGAAGCTGTTTTCCTTGATGTCAAGTGCCAGGAATAGGCTGGAGAATCACAGGTGGCATTTGGCCAAAACCCCCATGCAGTATAGATTTTCATTATTGTCATCCTCTCTTTGCAGCAACTACAGTTTCTCAACAGATGGTTTCAGTGGCTCAGGAGGCAGTGGCAGCCATGGTTCCTCTGTCGGTGTCCAGGGAGGTGTGGACTGGATGAGGAAATTGGCTTTCCGCTACCGAAAAGTGAGAGAAATCTATGATAAACATAAAAGCAACGTGGGTGGTAAGTGTGGCATCCAGCCAATCTAATGTTCTGTTTCCTTCCAACTTCCTATTTTCTTCTCCAGGGATTCTTTACACACTCCTGGCAACCGCTTATGAATTTGTGCCGCAATAATATTGCAACATTTTTTTTAAAGGCGATTTGAATCTCAGCATTTCTTGTAGACTTCTCTTAGCATAACTTTGTAAAGACCTCTTGTTATTTTTAGACAGTAGATCGTTTTTTGACTTGTGTTTTATTCCAGAGTCACAGCTACTATCCAGACTATTTAATAGGGTGTCATATTTGTATAAACACATCAAGACAAGTCAGAACTAGTGACTAGGTAAATAGTGGATATAAAACAAGGTCCAGTATTATAGATTAGCAGTGTCCATATGCTTACAACTTGAAGGACCTTGGAAATTCTTTCTGCCCAGAAATAATCTCAAATGTTAGATAACATTATGTCTAAAATACATATAGAATTAATTCATTGGCCATAGATTGTTCAAATTAGAAAAGGAGGTGTTTAGAGAGCTAATCTAAATCCCTCTTGATATTTGAGAAAATTGATGGGTCTGTCATGAAGGTAGCAAGGACAGCTTACCCATAGCGTCATAGCAAGTTGCTTACCATACTATAGCTGGAATCCACATTTCCTAACTCTCTACCCAGAGTACCTATGAGAAATATTTAGCACTGTGAAATATCACTGTCTAGAGGTACATTACCCAGGTCAACAGAGCCTTCCTACCATGCCATACCACCATACACTGTGGTACAAAAAGTAAAAGATCAGTTTGTAGTTCATTCCTCTTAACACCACTCCAAAGCCAGATTAAAAATAATGGGCCTCAGGGCCTTGAAATCTAATTAACTCTTTTCAACCTCCTTCCTTTTTATTGCTGTTTTCATGATTCAAAGTCGGTACTCTCTATTTGGCAAGTCTCAGTCTTTGCTTGTCTTCTTTTGTCGATATATTAGCTTATCCTTTGTTGGTTTTCCTGTATACCGTAAGTGTCTGATCCTTTTTGTGCCCAATGAGTGCCTGAACTTGGTTTCCTGAAGAAAATGATATATAACCCTTTGTGAAAATCCCCTGAGTCTACAAACCAAAAGTCTGGAAGACAAATTAAAAGCAATGTTTTGTAAAATAGGAATTAACAAAAGTGTTGTGTCATAGTATTTGTTAAGCATATGACCTATAGGAACTGGTTTTATTTTGTCAGAAACATTAAGAAAGTCATGTAATTCTGGGCTTGCATTGTGAAACAGTCAATCTGAAAACAGATCATACATTCTTCTGCTCACAGAAATGCCTTCTGTTTTATGGAGCATTGGTAATAGAATGCAGGATTTCTCTACAGGGCCAAATTTATTCATTTGAATGTTAAAACTCACATATCTGACAGCATGTTCTCCTCAGGTGAACTCTCTTTTGTTTGGTGCTTAATTATTTTTTCTTATGCAGTGTTTTAGTCACTTATCAGGTGTTGTTGTTTCAAAAGTATCATACAAACAGATGAAACTTGAAACGTTGGTCATTCAACCTGGTATCTCAGGTTGATGTGTTCTGTATGGGGTGGAAGTAAAGTTGCTGTGGGAGCAGTGTATGAGGGGGAAAGACTTCTGAGACCAAGAGACATTACCTTACTGTATAAGGCCCCACTTCCTCCCTGGACTTTGGTTTCATTAGAGAGAGTAGAAATGCTGGGAACTCTTCCAGATTTACCACTCCCTGTTTCCCCCTTCAGCTCTTGCTGTCACAGTCAAAAACAGTGCTATTCAAAGTGTGATCCACTGGTCTACAAATTATGATACTGGTTGGTGAAAAATAGAATTTGCACCACAATCTAATCCCAGTGTTTCTGTCAGCAGATTTGCTCTGGTTGTGCCATCCCTAGCAAAACATTCTGATGAAGAAGTTCAAAAAGGAATTTTGAGGAGCACTACTCTAGGTTTTTGCCAAGAAGAAAAATATATTATTAATTCAGTATAAAATTTCAATGACTCACAATATTTCTGAATTGAATTTATAATTTGCTTCCTTGGTGTCAGCAAGGATAGGTTGTTAAATGATAGATGTGTCTGCTTTTATTCCCAAAGGTCTTCTCAGTCCCCAGAGAAAGGAAGCACTGCAGCGACTAAGAGCGGAAATTGAAGTTTTAACAGATTCCTGGTTAGGAACTGCATTGAAGTCCTTACTTCTCATCCAGTCCAGGTATGGAAATGGTTCTTTTACGGTCTCATCCTCTTGGAGTTATATTCTTTCCTACTTTAATCAAGGGTATTCCAATCCCCAAAAAGGATTTGGGGTAGAGGTGAGAGGAGTTTAAATGATACAGGGAACTATATGGGTTAGGTGGGAAGAAAGGTCATTTTATACTAACAGCACACCTTAGAGTTTTCAGAGAATATTTCTAGAGGAAACCTTTCTCCCCCTTACTTTTGCTCTCAGAATTAAAACTCAGTAACTCATAATCTTCAGCCCAACATATGGGTGACATCAAAGAATACATCTGTAGAAGACGCATCACAAATACCTAAGTACAGGAACCTCCAAGAAGGACTGTACCAAAATCCAGTCACAAAGTAAGGAGAGACAAAAGAAAAAGGGCATCTTAAGGAAATTTAAGCTTAAAGCTTAGACTGAGAAATAAATGCAGCACATCTACACCAGTATCCTTACTGCTCCCTCCCGGAAAAGCAGGAATTCCAGATCCATATCCTAGTAGAAAAATAGTAAAACTGACACCACGGGAAGGTAAAGGACATGTGAAGTTAATGTTGCTGTTGCATAAAAGACTTAATGATGACTTAAATCACGTCTCATTTATGGGCTGAATTTTACTTTGATGAAATAGCACTGTAACAGAAAATCTTTGTTGTGTATTTTCCAAAGTGTGGTAACAGTGACATAGTGGTATTTGCCAACAAGTACAAGTTAGAATGGTTAGAAGGAAAATGATGCAGGAATCACGTTGCTGCTCCATGTCCACTATAGAATCTCTGTGTTTAATGTGACAGATAAACAAACCTGAGATAATTAGAACATTGTCACTGATAAAATACAGTGCCAGGCCCTTTAAGGGTAATTTTTTTTTGTTTTTTTGTTTTTTTTTTTGTTTGTTTGTTTGTTTGTTTGTTTGTTTTTTGTGGGACCCTCGCTGGTGGCCGGGATCGAACTGGCGCTGCAGAGGCTGCAGGCAGCCTCGCAACCCAGCGTTCAACCGCTGCACCACCAGGGGAGGCCCGAGGGTAATTTTTAATAGATCTACAGAGTTGACCCAGTTGAATTCTTACTTCCAAGTTAGTTTGTTTTCACCTTTTCTTTTTCTTTTCTCCCTTCTAGAAAGAATTGTGTGAATGTTCTGATCACTACCACCCAGCTGGTTCCAGCCCTGGCCAAGGTTCTTCTATATGGACTAGGAGAAATATTTCCTATTGAAAACATCTATAGTGCTACCAAAATTGGTATGGTTTCTACTCTAGTAACTGACCTTACAGGAAATCTCCCTGTTTATGATACACTTATTATTTACCAACCTGTCTGAGCAACACGATATATATAAGTTACTGACGAGTTATGTAGCTTATATAAGTCTTCACAGATAGTAAGTTAAATAAACTGGATTCAAATCCAAGTTTGTCAGACTTAAATTTTATCATGTTCTGTTTTATAATATTTAAACATAATATCTTAGTTTAGAAATCTGTTCTTGCCTTATTTCAGATTTCTTTCTCTTTCACAGAGCAGGCACTACAGTGCAATATGATAGAAAAAGCACTAGATTAAAAATCAGGGACTAAACTGTATACTTGAAAATAATTTAAAAATCCCTCATATCCTTTAGGATAGTTACTGTAGAAAAACTAAATAATTAAACGTTTAGCAAGCATGGGGAGATACCGGAACCTTGTGCAATGTCAGTGGGGGAGTAAAATGGTGAAAGTAGCATATGATCCAGCTGTCCTACTTCTGGGAAAAGTGCAAAAGAATTGGAGGCAGAATGTCAATGAAGTATTTGCACACCATATTCACAACAGTCTTAGTTACAATACCCAGGAAGTAGAAATAACCTTGAATTGGTTATTGAATAACCAATAAATAACCTTGAATTGAATGGCTAGATAAACAAAATGTGGTATATCCATACAGTGAAATATTACTCAGCCTTAAAAAGGAGGAAATCCTACCACATGCCATCTACCATTTGGATGAATCGTAGACATTTTGAGTGAAATGAGCCAAAGCCAATTCAAAAAGATAAATACTGTCTTTCCACCTATTTAAGGTTCCTAGAGTGTTCATAGTCATGGAAATGGAGGATGGTGGTCACCACAAGCTTGAGGAAGGGGAAATAGGACGTTGTTTAATTGAGTATAAATTTCATTTTTGTAGAATGAAAAAGTTCTAGAGCTATAGTAAACAACAGTGTGAGTGTCCTGAACTCTGCTTAACTACATGTAAACAGGACAAAAATGGTACATTTATGTTCTTGACTTTTCCACAGAAAGTTAAAATTTTCATTAATTTTTTTCTTCATCTACCATTTATAAAACTTGAAATATTTACTGTCTGTTTACGTGAAAGTTTGCCAGCCCATTCTTGAGTAATTCTCTTGTGCATAAAGACACATTTATTTTTCATGCTACTTTGTTTATAATTGGAAATAGGCTGTGAACCTGTCCATGAGCAGAAAATGGCTAAATAGATATATTCAAACAATGGAAACTATATAGCAAATTAAAAGTGGGTGAATTAAAACTATATATATATATATCTATAAGAATTATTATGAAAAACAATGTTGAACACACAAAAAAGCACATTGCAGATAGAGACATACAGTATATAACATTTGTATAAATGTTCAGAATGTTCACAACATATCATTTATGGAATAGGCTGTGGAGAGAAAGCAGGAGGAAGAATGGCATTAGGGAGAGGTGCATCAGAAACTTCAAAGAAATCTGTAATGTCATATTTTTTATCAAAAGCAACTATTAAGATTTGACAAATCTGGGTTAATGGTAGATATGCAGGTATTTTCATATATTTTTGTATGGTTGAATTATTTCATTTACAAGGGATTTACGGAATGGGAGGAATATATCTGAAAGCCCCTTTCATATTTCATTACTGCTACCCCTGCTGTGCTCCATGTTTCATAGGAATCCAGAGCCTCAGTGAGCCTCCCACCCCTGAAAGGTAGATTTTCTCTACTGTTTGTTAATACTGAGTCCTGGCACCGAAAGGCTTATCAAACCAATGGAAGTGATTTTATTCCCTCTGACAGTGTGTTCATTGGGTGATCTTCTGCAGTCTCTCTTTCAGAGCTAATCCATGCAGTAGAACGTGACACAGTCACCGTGGCACCTCCTAGCCACAGTGGGAGACTTGACAGAACTCTGACCTGCCAGCAAGGAGAAGAAATAGTTGTTCATTTCCTTTGAAATAATCGCAGGATTGTGGCTCTCTTAGAGAACTATTCTGTGACGTTGTACATTAAAGAAAATTCTCAAAATCATTTCTGAAAATGTCAGAAGTGTTTTTGATAGGGGAAACCCAGAAACCTAATACTCTCTAAAGACTAGGTTGGTCTTGCAGTTACAGATTGTTTGACTTTGGGTAAGCTGACTCGTCATTGGCCTTTTCCTCCCAAGCAGGAAAGCTCATCTCCAGGATTGTTTTCAGAGTGTAAAATGGAGGGAAAATATTTGCCATCTCTATTGGAGTCATTTTTTTTTTCATGTACTCTCAGCTATTAGTAACTCTGTCTCTTGATACTTTTGGAGAAGACATTCCTAAATGTTTTCAATCCCCAACCATTGTGTGCCAGGACAATGAAAACATCGCTACCCTTGTCCTCTAAATAAGAGATATTTCTTTTTTGGGTATTAGGAGAAAAGAATGACTGAAAATGCTGGTGTTTTGTTTTTTGTTTTTTTCTGTTGATAGATGGTAAATTAGACTGTTTCTGACAGAGATTGGCTAGGTTGTAGGGATGTAATGGTTGGAATGGAATTAGATAAAGAACTCTGTAACACTTTGAATATAATGAGAATTCATTATTAGATTATTTAATGTTTGAATTGGGGCTTGAGATATGAAGTCATCCTCCACTGAATCATTTGTAGGATTAATGCACATTTACTCAACAAATGTTGATTGACTACCTGATGTGAGTGTAAGGCATGACCACACTGTTTTCTGATGCTACCACTGAAAGGGGCCTACATGCACTTAAGCCAAGTCTTAATAAATCAGAGACTAAAGCCCAAAGTGAACTAGTGTCTGGTCCAGGCAACTGTTCCCCCAGTTTGAGATACCACATGGGTTGGGAATGACAAAGACTTGTAATTATCCAGATGTGCCACGCAGGACTTCTGAGGATGAGTGCATAGTTTCTTGTCAGTCAGTGTAGTCATCTTAGAATTGTGTATTGTGATAACAGTTTTCCAGCAGGTGGCAGTCAAGTGCCTTGAGGAAGAGGCACCTTTTTCTTATTCACACAGGAACCCTGGTGCTAAGTCTCTGGATCTGGAAAGAAGAAAGGATGAGAAGGTTAATGGAGCAGGATGAAGAAGGAAGCAGAGTTAGGACCTTGCTTAATTGAAGAAGGTGGCAGAAACAGGGAAATAAAATATAAAAGATAGTGAAGAAAAAGCAAGGGAAATAATTTCCCCTTTTTTAATTTATGCAAATATCTTTTCCATAGCAGTATCATCTGTGCATTCTTTAGGTATTGGTTTCCAGTGGGATTTGAATTTTTGGATACACAGCCCTGTTTCCCAGTGAATTTAAATCACCCATTTCCTGAGGTCAATTTCAGTGATAGAACATCTCCGCTTTGGGTACAGTAAATGGCAGTTACAGTAAAATAGGGAGAAAAACCCAGGTGTGACCATGTTCGTTGGTCCTCTAGGGCTCCTCCTCTCCTGGCAGGTCTAGGACTCTCTGGGAAGTTTGTTATTACTAACAAAAAAAAAAGATCTTATGTTTCCACTTCTCTTACCTACACTAAAACAATTTCCTCTCGGGCCTCCCCGGTGGCGCAGCAGTTGAGCTCTGGGTTGCCAAGCTGCCCGCAGCCTCTGCAGCGCCAGTTCGATCCCCAGCTTCTCCCCGGCCACTGGAGGAGGGTCCCACATGGCGCGCAGACCTCTCCTGCCGCCCGCTGCTCCCCTCAGCAGTGTACTTCGGTCCTTCTGCCTGCTCTGCTCCCCGCTCTGGCTCTGGTGAATTCTCTCACCCTCCCGCGCTTCTGACTATACCCAGTGCTTGTATAAATAAATAAATGAATAAATAAATAAATCTTAAAAAGAAAACAAAAAACAATTTCCTCTCAAAAATTATCCTTTTATGAGGGCACAGTGGCCAGAACCTAAACTTGGGAGTCATAAACCCAGAGTCTACTAGCTGTCTTATTTGTGGTCTGGGCAAGTCACTAATACTTAGGGCCCCATTTTATCTGTAAAATAAGGAATATTATCCATCTCCCTGGATAATTTTGAGAATTAAAAGATTACTTAAAAACTTCTTTGTAAGCTATAAATACAGGGGAGGTGGGAAGTAAGGTGGTATTCATAGCTCTCACACTCATTTATAGAAATTCCCTCATACTAAGATCTTACGACTTCACCCTTGGCTTTTTTAATGGCACAATTTGCAGTCTTTGGGTGGAGGGCCTATTGGATCTCTAGATGCCCTGCCCCCCACAAAGCACATTATATGGGCTGCCACTTTGTCCAAGCAGGTGAACCCTTTTCTTTGGTATTGGTTTAAAAAGATACGGAGGAATGTCCTGATAGTCCTTGTCTTTTTCTCATCAGGAAAGGAGAGCTGCTTCGAGAGAATTGTGTCGAGGTTTGGAAAGAAAGTCACATATGTAGTGATTGGAGATGGACGAGATGAAGAAATTGCAGCCAAACAGGTAACCATGGTGAAGAACACTGTTCACGTGGAAGGGCATGAAGGGATTAGGAAAATGGTAAACTCGGAAATCCTAGCTATCTTTTGGGTATTTACAGTATTTTCCCTTCTCTTCCTCTCCCATTTTTCTTTAAAGAAAGAGGAAGAGTTTTTTTGGGTTTTTTTCTGAAATGCAGTTTTCCCTATAAGCTGTTTTGATCCTCCTCTTTCCTTCCACCTGACATTCAAACATCTTAAAATCTTTGAGCCCTGGGCCTTCTGGGTGGCGTAAGGGGTTAAAACACAGCACTATGAAGAGATCCGCAGCCACTGCAAAATGAGTTCGATCCCTAGCCAGGAAGGTGACCCATAAGGTGCAGCAGACCTCTCCTGACTCACCTGGTGTTTCCCTCAGCAGTGTATTTCAGTCAATCCGCCTGTTCTTTTCCCCACTCTGTCTCTGGTGAATCTTCTCACCATTCCACACCTCTGACCTACACCCCAGTTCTTCTATGCCAAAAAAAAAAAAAGGAGGTTTCCAAAGTGGCACACAGTGTTCTGTCCCTAATTCTGGCTGTATAATATGATCGTTATTTCTCAAAGTTGTAAGAAAACCTGAGAAATACCACTAAAACCTAATGAAAACAGCGCCTCCCCAGTGGCACAGCGGGTTGAACGCCACACTGTGAAGCTGTCCACAGTCTCTGCAGCACCGGTTCGATTCCCGGCCAGCTGGGGAGAAACCCACATGGCGTAGCCGACGTCTCCTGCCTCGCCCGCTGCTCCCCTCTGCAGTGTATTTCGGTCGTTCTGCTCCCTGTTCTGTCTCTGGTGAATTTTCTCACCCTCCCATGCCTCTGACCTGTACCCCAGTTCTTGTATAAATAAATCTTTTTTAAAAAAAAGGAAAAAAAACCTAATGAAAATCTCTCACATTTGTAAGGTGTCCTATAGCATATTTATACGTAAGACTTAGTTGATCTTTATGACAGCCCTGTAAGAGTTACCAGATACCAGGGAGTTAGGTCTGTAGAGGAAGGGGTTTGGATGGATATGAACTCTCAAAAGAGGTTGGGTTAACCAGCCATCCCCCTCTCTTCCAGCACAACATGCCTTTCTGGAGGATCACAAACCATGGAGACCTGGTGTCCCTCCACCAGGCTTTAGAGCTTGATTTTCTCTAAGAACTGGAATGAAGAGCCTTCCCCATGAGCTCCTTTCCCTCCTGAAGGGAGCTAGAGACCAGAACCAACTGGGAACACACTCTGTCTCTCCTCCCCCCACCCCCTTTTTTCTCTCCTCCATGGAATGCCGGCGAGAACACAATCAGAACCAACATCTGTGAGCAACAAAGCTTATTTTTGCTGAGTAAGCTGCAGTCCGTGTTCATCCTCACAAGAAAATAGGAGGCAGTTGGATTGAGAGAATAGACTCACCGCAGCTACAGTGCTTTTAATTCCTCTATTACTCTTTGTTTGTTTGTTGTATTTTGTTTCACAAAATGAAGAAAAAGAAAACTCTTGGGGCAGAGTTGCACTCTTAGTCCATGACCAGTCTGCTCTTAACTTGTGGTAGGATAAATGCGCAGACTTTTATAACATCTCTGGCAGTCTTTATAATCTCCTTAGCTATAGAACATATTCCCAGTGAATGTATATGTTATTTTTATAGGTGAGGGTCTGGTCTCCGAAGCAAGTACCCCCCGCCCCTTTCTTTTCTAGCAAGAAAGGAGTGTGTAAAGTTTCCTTGAAAAATAGTCATTGAAATATCTAAAATACCTCTCTGTGATGATAGCACCTCTTAGCTGCTCCAGGATCTGATCTAGATGGTTTCCTTCCCGTTCTTCCAGCTCCTGGTTTGCTGAACTATGGGGCACTGGACACTGAATACCATTAGACTTTGATGTTTCCCCTCCTGGAAGCCTTAGATTCCTTTTCCAGTTACTCTTCCCCCCTTTAACCAGACAGCACAGCCACAGAAGCTCCTCCTCTTAGCAGTAAAGTATAGTCTTCAGCTTGAATCTCTCATTCAAAGACAATGGCCCTGGAGGCTTACCCCAAACTGGAACGAAGGGACTAAGGCTTCTTGACTCTTTAAATAGGATGATTCCACCTTTTCCTCCTGCGGAGAAGCACCCTTCCCCCAACAGACACTCGTCCCTACAACCGTCTCTTCCGTCTGAGTCATCAATGTGTGGCTCTTACCCCTTTCCTGTCCTCAGTCCTTCATAGCCACCTCCATGCAGTCTGGCCAAAGCTACTAATGTATTTGGCTTCCCTGGAAGCCCTCAAGCCCTCTGAAGGGTATTCTGGGCATATATTTACTCCCAGCTCTGCCTGAAGCTAAAGAGCAGATTGCCATGATCAAAACCCAGTTTTCCCATGGACTGCCCTTGCTGCTTCTCAAACGCCATTCTGAAATGGGAAACCAGAAGGCCAGAAAGTCTTTCCCTAATTTCAGTGAGGGTGCTGGACCCTCTCCATGCCGAAAGGTTAATTCTCCTCCATTCAAAAGGTTAACATCTCACAGCCTGACCTCTGGGAAGTTTGGTGGATGCCAGGCATGAGTCCCAGCCCTCCATCCCAACTGTTTGTGGCTGCTATGTCCCTCAAAGGCCAACTTGGGCTTCTGCTCAGGCAGGATAGACTCCCTAGAGCGGAGGAAGTTAAGGCTGCAGGGAGGTGACTGCGTAGGCACCTCAGAGCCATGCAGCTGGGGCCCCAGTGGGAGATGACCTTAACCAGGCCAGTTCTAACAGCAGTGAAGAGTTCCCTGGTTTCGCATTTCCCTTACCAGAGATACTGCAACACAAAGAGATCAGACTCCTTCCAACGCCAGCACCCAGACAGAGGCAGCGGAGAGAGTCTGGCTGCATTCCTCAGGGCTGGTTGAGAAAGTGGTTCACCACAGTTTTAGGATCGAGGTGGTTGGAGAGGAGCTGTGGTCAATGCTCATTATCCACCTGCCTCTTTGGCCTCGTTTCCATGGGAGTGGAGGGGCAGGCTGAGGTTGCACTCCCCTGGTCTGTGTTGATCATAGCTGCCCAGATGCTGCTCTGCCTCACTTGATAGTTGGTCTCAGAAAGCTCTAGGATGGGGCTTTCCTTCCAGGCCCAAGTGCTGCCCATGCTGGCAGGGTAACTGCTGGTGTCTTGTCCTGGACATGAGCCCTGGGTTGATGCAGGCTTGTGGGCTCTGGAGTGGTACCCCATCAAGCACACAGGCGTGCACACCTGCCCTGCCTGCCCCACCTTGTGGAGAAGTTTGCAAAGTTGTCCTAGAATGTGACTTGGACCCCTTTTTCAGTGCAAAAGGAACTTGAAATTGGCCAAAAAAAATGAAGCTCTCTGAGCAGAGCGCCCTTTGTTCTTTCCTGGTTGTGCCCCCTCATAGACAGGGCAAGCAGAAAATGAGGGTTTCTTGGACCTTCTGCCAAAATGAATTGTTCCTGGGACACAGTGCTCTTCTTTCACCCTGTGCTTTCCTCCTCCCCAGCACAAAGATCTGGAAAGGGAAATGGAAGCACAAGAGTTCTTGGGAGCTGAGGGCCAAAGGATACTGTGCGTCCTTCATTAAGGAGGAAGCCCTTTTCACTGGAAGAGTCCCCATCAAATTGGCCGCATGGGGAGGCCTTTCTCCCAGCTGGGCACGCAGGGCTTTGCAAGGTGGAGCTGTACACAGAGGCGAGGGCCCGCTAGTCGGGGGTCTGGAGTGGTCAGGTGTGTCCCGGGTTTAAGAGGTGGCTTGACTTCCGAATGTAAAACTGACTGTGCCTTAGCATCACCCTGTCCAGTGCCCCTGGGGCAGCTGGTGGTGTCCAGGAGATTGGATACCTGTTCCAGATTTAGATGCCTGTTTGGGCTTTTATTTGGTTTGGGGTGTTCCTATCTTCTGCTCTGCAAGTTGGGGGTGGGGAGGGCGAAGCTAGTGTCCCAAGAGACTTGTGCCACAGCTTGTTCGCAGTTTACAGAAACACAGCTTTAAAGCTTCTTTGGCAAACTCCAGTTGCAGTGTGCTCGCTTCGGCAGCACATATACAAACTCCAGTTGCAGCATATGGAGCTTCTAAACACTGGCTACCTTGAATGGGTGCCACACCACTGAAGCCAGGGGCAGAGAGCACAGGGGCAGAGCCATGTTCTCCCTCCTGGCAGTTATGGTGTAAGCCGAGGGGTGGTGAGCTTGGGGCTTCTTTCCTTGCTCCTGCAGAAGGGAGTAGTTAGGGCTCCTCTTAACAGGGTTTCTATTTCTCACCACTAATTTGGTTTCCTTTCTCATCCAAGAGTTGGAACTTCCCAGATTTCACACTCTAGGAGCCAAATCTGAGTTCTGAGATTCGAAAATGTCTGAAGCCACAAGAGAGAAAATCTAGTTCTGTCCTGTCCCCATCAGCATGCCTCTGCCCCTCCCTCTCCTCTGAGTTAGACAGTTCTGGCAAGCAGGCTCCTTGGCTAGTTCCTAATGCACTGACGGGAGCCCCCCATCAAGGACGACTTCTGCTCAAAACGTGACCCTCTGGACTTCAATGCCTCACTTAGTCGGAAAAGGCATGAATTGGATTGGATATATTTATGTGACTGCGGGCATTCGTGGCTGTAGAGTCCTTGACCATAATGTTATATGTAACGGGAACTCTTATAAACTTGAAAAAATAAAGTTTTTATTTTCTATACAGTTTGCTCATCTTTTCTAAATAGGATTGGCCAGTTGCCCAGCTGAAGAGGATTCTAAATTGGGCTTCATAAAAAAAAAAATCTAAAGAACTCATTAGAAAAATTAGTAACTGAGTCAGTAATTTTACCAAAAAGGTTTAAAACAACCATTAACGTAAATGAATGTACATGAAAAAAAAGTATTTTTAAATAATTTGCAAGGGAGAGATTAATCGCTTCTAAAACATACTGCTTTTGAAAAGTTTAATACTAAAATAAGATTTCACTTACCATCAAATTGCTAAAATTTATTATTAAATCAGTGCCTTACTGTGCTGAGCTTAAATCACAAAAGCAATGAAACTGATACCAAACCTTGCTTGATTCATTTCTTCAGACCTGGGCCTGTCTGGGAAATCGGTACTTTTGCTTTGTATTCTTGCAGGAGATTGGGATTCAGTGCTGACTTGCACGTACCTTATATGTCAAGACTATAATTTTTTTTCCCAAAGTAATGTCTTTAGAAGAGAGGATGCCTTGCATTCTGAGCATTAAATCTTTTCATCAGAAGGTGCATATTTCAAGCCACATTAATTGAAGGTAACTTTTTTATCACACTTTGACGGTTATAAGTACAAACGCTAGAATAGTGACGATTTTTCAATGTCATCCCCCTACAGTGAGTATAGCAGCTGCATCCTTCCCATCCTTCAACATGTTTTTTATTCTCAAAAAATGTTCAACATTTTAAAAGTTATTGATGGAAATCTTCAGACTTTCTAATTGCTAGTAATGTCTAGTAATGTCTGTTGTCTTTAAAATTATTGATTTGTAAACTATAATATATAAATGAAGTGACTTAAATTCTAGTTTAGGTGGTAACACTATGTACATTGTTTAGATTTAATGACATCCATGTGACTGTTACTTGATAATTTCATCTAGAGAGTAGAGATGAAAGCTTTCCTTGTGGCACTTAATACTGTCAGACACGCTTGTTCTATTTATTGGATCTTCACTAAAATGAACGGGCAAATAACAAGACAGCACCCTGGTTCCCATCACAGCACCTGGAGCCTTCCTTCAGCACCACTTCCTTTGCAAACCAGACCTCCCCAGTGCCGTGGCCCAAATCCACATCCCCTAAGCCGCCTCATAACTTATACTTCCTCCTCTCCCGACTTCTCCTCCGCCCTACACAGAAACTTTCTTCACCCAGGCTCTTGTGTTCACTTCATGGTACTAAATAAAGGGGCTTGTGGACCCCCCGGTGGTGTAGCGGTTGAGCGCTGGGTTGCAAAGCTGCCCGCAGCCTCTGCAGCACCAGTTCGATCCCCGGCTGCTCCCCGGCCACCGGAGGAGGGTCCCACATGGCGCGCAGACCTCTCCTGCCGCCTGCTGCTCCCCTCAGCAGTGTACTTCAGTCCTTCTGCCTGCGCTGCTCCCCACTCTGACTCTGGTGAATTCTCTCACCCTCCCGCGCTTCTGACTGTGCCCAGTGCTTGTATAAATAAATAAATAAATAAATCTTTTTTTAAAAGGGGGGAGGGGCTTGTGGCACTCCTGCCCAGCCCCGCTGCGGAGCTGGTTAAGAGCGCACACACTGGCATCAGCCCAGATCTGGGTTCCGATGCCCACTTGATAACCCCATGTTAATGCACGAGTTCCTCAAACTTCCAAGATAAGATTAAGAGGTGCAGCCCTGGTCCCAGGGCCTTTACCCACGCTGCAAGGGAGGACTGTCCCTGACCCCTCTCCAGGTGGCTTTGAATGCCATAGATTTAAAGACATGACTAAGTTGGAGGACTTCATGAGGCTTTAATAATAACCTAATAATACTGTTAAACAAAACACTTGCAGAAACGTGCACACACCTCTTCCTCTCTTAGACTGAGGTAGAAAATACATGGTCCAAAGTACAAAAAAACACCAACAGGCTGAGCCACAGCCCCAACCACAGGTTCACAAAGCACTTGATTGACAGTGGCCCCTCGAGAGTAAGATCCGGGCTGGGCCAGCTTCACTAAGGCGGAGGAGGGGCTGAGAAGGGCCAGCCAGTTGGGCATCCCTGGCTTCCAGTCTGAGTGCCTGCCCAGGAGAACCTAGAGAGAAGAAGGAATGGAGCAAGGGTGCCTGCTGATCCTGTTGCAGCTCCCAAGCTATAGAATGATGTTCTTGGCACAGAACACAGTTAACATGTTGAATGAACTGAATGACTGGGGCGGGGCAGGGGAAGGGTTCCAGAGAACACATCCTGGAGGTACTGGAACCCAGGAGTTGGACGCCACCTTCAGCAGTTATGTTAGAGGTGACTGGAGAGGTAAAAGTATCAACACAGATGCTTTGGGACACCAGCTACGCTGGTAGGCACTGAGGGCTGAGGGAGGAAAGAAGGTCTTTCCTTCCCTCTCAAAGTGTCTTGTACATAATCAGGGCCCTTGACTCTCCAGGGCCCAGCCCACCTCATCTCACTCCCATTCTCCAGGCAGGCCCGTCTCCACTCTGGCCTCCAGAGCGCTGCACACAGCAAGCCTCAGGTGCCTGTTGAGAGAACCAAGGCCCATAGCAGCATAATTAGCTTATCTTCCGTATCCTACCATCTGACTCCATCTGTCCACGGGCCCCTGGCTGGGGCTGACGCGCCTCAAAGGACCCCATTCATGTCTCTGTTCCATGGCAAAGCAGTCTCACCCCTCGCCTTAGGGAAAAAGTTCTGAGCCAACTTAGTCATGCGCTTGTTCTGAGGCAGCTGATGAAACTGGCGGGAGCGGGAATCCAGGGTCCCATCCACTTGGTCGGGCTCCCAGAGGGAGCGAGAACGCAAGGTCCCGTCCACTTGGTCGGGCTCCCAGCGGCAGCTGGGGTGCAGCCAGCAATAATAGACAAGCCGCAGAACCAGACCCAGAAAGAAGCAGACGGCGCCCATGGGCAGCAAGATCTGCAGCAGGCTCCAGCTGGGCAGCCAGGCGCCATATGTCAGCCAGGTGACCGCGATGAGAATGCTGTCACCCAAGAGAAATGCCAGGTGGATGGTGGCCCGGCCTCGGGTGCGGCCGTCAGCCACATTGAACCAGGAGAAATACAGGATGGTGGCCACAGTGGCCCGGTACAGCCACTCGGAGCAGGAGTCTGGCATGAAGTCCGTGCCCTGAAGCCAGACCCAGAACAGCAGCACCAGCCACAGACCCACAAAGTGCAGGGCCACGTAGTGGGGGAAGAGGGCTGAGAACAGGGCCACCACCAGGACTCGGGGCCACAGCAGCAGCAGGTTCCACAGGAAGTAGATCACAGAGGAGCCCGGTCCCAGGAGGGGCTTGGCAGGGAGGCAGGTGCGCAGGGCCCGGTGGTAGTCCAGCAGCGCCCACGAGATGCCCAGGAAGGACACGCCCATGGCGACCCCTATGGACAGAGGAGACAGGTGAGCCCCAGGGCCAGCTTCCCGGTGGTTCCCGGGGGGCCACCCTAACTGTGAGGGTATCAGAACCCCCGATTTGTTGAAGGGAAAACTACAGCTGGAAAGCATGAAATAGGTCCAGACAGTCTGCCCTTCACCACTAAGCTTTGCTTTCCAGGTGCTGCCATGGTGATATTTTTCAAGGATGACAGTGTGTGTGGCTTCCATACCTTCCTTGGCAGCCCTGGCCTGGCCACACCCTGAGCATCTCCCGGAGCCCTGTCACCCTTCCTTTCCAGAAAGACTGAAGCCGTTCTTGGGTCTGAAAATCAGCCGTCCCAGTTCCCTCTTTCTTGGTCTCAGAAGAGGAAGCAGGAAATCCCAGGGGTGGCATTAGGCCTCTGGCTGCCCTTGGGGCCAGGCAGGATATTCCCCATACCCCCTCCAGGCTCAGTCTGGGCCCTCATCTTCATTTTCCAAGACCAGAACTTTACGGTGGGGATCCCATCCATTTCCTGGTCACCCACCTGGACTGCCAGCCCTGGGACCTCCCGCAGGAATGGATGTGTCTACACTGCTTCCTCCCCGGCCCTCTTCCCACTGATTCAGTCCATGCAGGTGGCCAGGATCCCACCCCGAGCTGGAATCAGAGGGTGGCCACTGAGCTCTCTGAGTACCCCACTCTCGGTCGCAGCTGGCCTGACATTGTTCCAGTTTGCCCAGCACACCACATACCCTGCCTGACAAGCTTTGCCCATGATATTGGGAGCACAGGCCCAGCTTCCCCTGCCACCCTTCCTCCCTGCAGGCCCCAGTTTGAATATCCCCTAGGGCCACCCATCCTGACCTCACCCCACCCACCACAATGTGTTGGGTGCCCTGGATCACCCCACCCACTTCTGTCAGGAGTCTTCCCACACAGGAGATATGTTTCCTCATCTCTGAGCTCCTTCAAGGTAGGGAACAGATTCTGCTCCCCTGGGGTCACCGGGCAGCCTGTATCTGGCATGTAATAGCAAGTGATGTTTGCCAAGTAAAAAGCTGGGGAAATCTGTCTCATCCCACACGCCCTCCACACACTGGGTGGCCGTCTCTTAGCCCTGGGCGGACACACCCACTATCCTCAAATAGACATCAAACAGCTCTGCCCAGCCCGTCCTGTGAAGTCACTTCACCTTTCTGGGTCTCTTTCTCCTCAAGTAAAATGGAGACAAACACACCGACCTACAGGGCGGCAGTGCCCGGCCAACAGCAGGCCTCTGTTGTGTCAGCACTACTACTGGTCTTGTCCAGCTAACATTACAGACTCAGATTAGCAAGCTGGAAGGACGCTGGGGGGCTCAGAACAGCCCCCACCTTGTACAGCCAGGGATACAGGCCAGGCAAGGGAAGACCTACCGGTCACCAGGGAGAGGTGGCAGAGTGGGGATTGGTCCCTAGGAGGCCTCGAGGGGTGCGGGGGGGGGGGAAGGAGACCCCGAGTGGGACCTGTGTCGGAGTCCCAGTGTGGCTACTGGCTGGGTCTGAGACTTGCCAAGTTTCCTCCCCGTTACAGGAGAAAACCCCCCGAAGCTCCTCATGGCACGAGCGTCTCCCTGGTTCACGAAGCCACCTGCCTCTCCATTTCCAGGTCACTCAACGCGCCGAGTGAAACTACCTGTTTTGCAGCCTAGCATCCCGGCAGGGCAGGGCTGCGACCTAGTTCACAGCAGAGTGCCTGGCTCGGGCCAGCACCAGGTGCTCGGGGAAACTTGAGCGTGTCAAGGTGCTCAGTAAACTGTTCGCCGGCCGCCAAACAGCCTGTGCCAGGCGCCGCATCTCCCCCCTCTCCCTCCCTCTCTGCTAGGTAGGAGCGCCTCTCTCTCTCATTTTACCGATGAGAACAAACTGACAGACATTGAGTCATTTGTCCAAACTCACGTGGCTGGCGAGTGACTTTGGATTTGAACCCTCGGCTGCCTGACTAAAAATCTTCTATGTTCTAAGCAGCCCTGGGAAGTGTGGAAACATTTCTGACATGTGGGGCATTTCCTCAGCCACGGGGGCTGGCCCGTCACTCACACTGGTAGTACTCGGCCCGGCCGCTCTCCAGCACGATGGCCAGCACCAGCGTGAGCTGAGGCGTCGTCTCCAAGAACGTCTCAAAGAGCCGCAGCATGCTGATGTCCAGGGCGAGGAAGTCGGCGTAGGCCAGGTCGAACTCGGAGGGCACCTCCTGCCGCCACACCAGCAGCCCCTGCCGCAGCCCCTGCAGGCACCTAGGCACAGACAGATGCCCCACGGACCAGGTGAGTGTCCCCTGGCGTTCCTCTTGCCCTTCCCAGATGGTGGGTGCAGACGGGCTCCAGTCCTAGCTGGTCACTAACACGCTGCTGGGCTTGGGCAAGTGACTCGGCAAGGCGACAGCTGCTCCTGCAGCCGGGCCCTCTCCCAAGCTCATGACAAACCTTGGCCCACTGACTCTTGGCATTTCCTCTCCATAGGTGTGGAAGCAGAACCAAAGAAGGGAAACCTGGCCCAGAGAAGAGGGAGGGTTAGGCTGGAAGCGGAGGTTTGCTTATATAAGGGAGAAAGGATAAGAGCTTGCCCGGAGTGTTGCTGATGGAGACTGGGGGATGTTAACTGAGATCAGAGATTGGAGAGACCAGCCTTGGTAACCCACTGGCCAAGAAACTGAGGCTCAGAGAAAGGCAAGAATGAGCCAAGAGATAGTAAAGCCAGGAGTGGATCCCAGAGAGGTCTGACTCCAACCAACCCGGGTCACTTTCTTCCCTGGGCCTCAGTTTCTCCTCCCTGGCCTGGCAGGAAGGGCTAGATGAGCTCTGCGGGCTGCAGTTCTTTCTCTAAGGGCGGGAGCCCCGCTGCAGAGGTGAGCACAGGGGCTCAGTGTCCTCTCCTGGATCCCAGCCCTCTCCTCCCCGCGCCCTTCCAGCGGCGGGCGCTCACCTGTACAGGTAGCCCAACTGCAGGAGATGCAGCAGCGCCAGCCAACCGCCCGCGGGCTGCGACGCGTGCAGGCCGCCGGGGTCGGCGCGCAGCCAGACCCAGCTGAAGAGCTGCAGCACGACGGAGGAGAGGCCCAGCAGCGCCAGCACCAGCGCGCCCCACCAGTAGCGGCCGCTGAGCACATACTGGATGGCAGCCCACAGGTCGACGCCCAGGTCGGTCAGGAAGGCGGCGGTGCCCAAGACGCCCAGGACCAAGTCCCAGAGTTGCGCAGCGCGGGGCGAGCAGGGCATGACCCGCCAGCCTCTGCCCGCGCCGTCTCCTCTGCGGCCGGGACCCGGGCCTGGGGTCGCGGCGGTAGGAAGAAGGCGGGCACCGCCCTCGGGGCCGCCCAGGGCCCCGGCCTGCTGGGCGGGACTTCCCTGTCCCGGTCGCCGTCCCGCCCCGTCCGGGGAGGAGCGCGGGCGTCCTGGGTCTCCCGCGCGGCGCTCGCGTCTCCCAGACGCCCGCCCGGCGCTCAGGCCCTGCGGGGCGCAGGGACGCCCCCTCCAGCCCGGCCGTCGGAGCGCGTTCTCCTCGGCTTGGCAGGCTCTGATCGCTTTGCCTTTGAGATGCCAGGACCAGGGATGACCCCTCATCAGCTTTTTTTGCACAACAGTAGAAAAGCCCTTTCTGACCCCTGATTGCGTAACTTTGCAAACTGAATGGCTCGAGTTCGGGCGCTTGCCAGGGGAGCCCGAGGGCCCAGGCCCGGCGCGGGCGACCCCCGGAGGCGCGTCTTACTTGTTCATCCGGACAGGGGTTTGGGGGGCTGGAGGGGGGCAGGGCACTCAGCAACTGCGAGAGAGTTGCTTCAAACACCGTTTGCATAACAAGAGGAGTGAGGAACACAGTGAGGTTTTTTGTTTTTGTCTTTTAATGAAACTTGAAAGAAATGCCCTTCATTTGGGGCTTCATTGCCTGACCCGCCAGTCGCACCCCAGTTCCCTCCCTAGTTCCCTCCCTGCGGGCGCGGAGAAAATGGAGGGAAAGTCCAGCTCTCCGGGGAGCTTCCTTCCATCCCGGAGGCGGGGAGCCTCCCCGGGCCGGCTCAGAGCGCGAGCAGCGCGCGCAGGCCCAGCAGCGCCGCGGGCAGGAGCGCCAGGCCGGGCGCGGGGACCCGGGGGGCGGCCCCGGGGGCGCGCAGGCAGGCGGCGTAGGCGGGGAAGGCCACGGCGCGCATGGCGCACACGTGCTCGGCGCGGCAGCCCTCGCCGCAGACCTGCAGGTCGTAGCTGACCGAGTTGTAGACGTAGTAGCGCTGCAGCGCGCCCTGCTCGCTGGAGATCCGGCTCAGCGCCTGCTGCATGGAGCGGGGGCTTGCGTCGCGCACCCCGTAGGCCTCTGTCACCCGATACTCGAGCTCCCAGCGCGGGGTCCCCTGCGCGTTGGCCTGGCTCAGGTTGACGAAATATGTCACCATGTCCTGGGGACCGAGCGCGAGGTGGGCGGTCAGTGAGCAGCCTTAGGCCTCCACCCCCAGGCCTGCACCTTTCACCCTCCCCCGCCATTCTGTACAGCCGTGATAGGGACCACTGGGCTGCTGAGCATTTGCTGCTGGCCGGCCGCGTAGGCGTGGCCGACCTGATTGAATCTGATGAGGTACCTGCGCTTATTACCCCCCACTTCACAGAGGAGGAAACTGAGGCATGCGAGGTCGTGTGTTTGAGTAGGAAGCTACAAGTGGCAGAGATGGGGTTAGAGTCCAGTTTGTTGACCCCATGGCCAGTGCAGTTTCTGTCCCAGGTACACAGAAGATGATCAGTAAATATTTGCAGAACAGCTGGATTAAAAGCATACAAGGGACTAGGACGCCAAGACCCTGACATTCAGGTACATCTTAAGGGCTAGAATGTGGAAGGGCCCATCTGCCCAAGTTTTGTTTGTTTGTTTTTAAAGATGTATTTATTTATGCATACAAGAACTGGGGTACAGGACAGAGGTGCAGGGGGTGAGAGGATTCACCAGCCGATCTGCCCAGGCTTTATCTCCAGTTAAGATGACTGACCTGCTAGGGCACTAGGAGAGGTAAGAGCAGCTAGTGCAACTTCAGGCTATGCACACTACATATTTCATCTAGTCCCCCACCCCCAACTTGGCCAGGTATTGTTCCTCCCATCTCAGATGAAGTGATAGAACATGGAGCACTCCCAAAGCTCTTAATTGGTGGAGTCAAGATTCACCCCAGATCTGTCCAGCTCCTTCCCTGAGAAGGATGTTGAGCATGCTGAGGGTAGGATGGGGGGTTTCAGCCTGTGAGTGTGTTGGGGGGAAAGGATATCCCGAACAAACACCACAAGTAGGTTTTATGGCCCCCACCCTCACTCCAGATCAAAGCATCCAAGACACCAAGGACTACAAACCCCATAATGTCATCATGCTGGAAACTAAGGGTGGAGTTAAGCTGTCAGGTATTGTATATCACCAGACATGTGAGCCTAGGAGGTCTCGGTTTTTGCTGGCTTTCAGCCTACTATTGGGGTTCAGCTCAGCAGAACTGGTAGGACCCACTCACCAATTTATCTCTCTCTCTTTCTCCCTGAGTTATTAATTTCTTCCTTTCCCTTTTTTTGTAAATAAACCCTTTATTACCTTTCTGTGTGTGCCCACAGGTGAGTCATATTATAAGTCCCTTTTAAGTGCGCAGGTGAGGACCCCACAGTCAGGCAATCCATTTCACATCGTGGTTGCCCTGTAACAAGTCCTTTAGCTAAAACCCTCTGAGTGCCCATGTGGAGAATAGGCCGTGCTCTTAAAAAGCCTCAGGCCTCTTCACACTCTGCATTTATTCTGGAACCAAAGCCCTAGGTTGTCTCATGTATTCCTGCTTGAACGTCCACTCCCAGAGTAAATCTCTATAACCACCACGTCCCCAAGCTCCAGCGTGAACATGCCTCCTCCCTCGGCATCTTCACTTGGATGCCATTTAGATATCCCTAGGTCAACACGTCCCAAACCAGTCTCTGATTTCCTCTCCAAAACCAGCTTCCCCTTCCATTTTAGGAAACGGCACCTTCATCCTCAGGCCAAAGCCAGTTTCCCTGGGCTCCTCTCTTCCTCTCAAGCCCCTGGCCTGTCCCCCAGAAAATCCTGTCTGCTCTGTGTTCAAAATGAGAGGATCTGGCCCTTTTTATCACCCTGCTGCTACCACCCTGGCCTGTGCCATCTCTCAATAGTTACTGGAGTTCCCTTCTAGCTGATGCCCCTGTCCCCTACAGCCTATTCTGTGCAAGCAGACTTGGTGATTTTGTAAAATTCTAAGTCAGAACATTTCATTCTTTCATTTCAAGCTCCCACATCTGGACTCATAATGGCTAGGTGATCTGGCCTTGTCCCTCACCCCTGAAGACCTCAAACACAAGCTCACCCCAGGGCCTTTGACGTTTTTCCCTCTGCCTTCCCCAGATGCTCCATGGCTTGCTCCCTCTGTTTACTCAGAACTCAAGTGTCACCTGTCACTGACATTCCCCACCCCATCTAACAGCACAGGCACCATACCTGTCACCCCGCCTCCTCCTCGCATTTCTCTACATACTGAACTTGCTTATCGTCTGCCTCGTCTCTCTCCTGTAAGATCGGCAGATCCAGGACAGCAGTGGCTTTGTTTTTGTTCATTTATGAGCCTCCTGAGCTTAGCACATGGCAGATGCTAGTACAGTTTGTTGACTAAATTAAGGAATACTCACAAGCACATCCCAGGAGGTGCAACACTGCTTGATGAGTAAGGAGCCTGTTTTAGATGGAAACTAGGAAGCTTCTATCGAAGGGGTGGGCAGTAAACCTGAGGTCCTATTGGGGGAGGTCTTCAGTGACAGATTGAGGAGATCCAGCCTTCTTTGGGGTGGGGGGGCAGCATTGAAGGGTTTTGAGCAGGAAAGAGAGTGCTTTAGAAAGATGAATCTCAGGCCTCCCTGGTGGTGCTATCAAGCTATCACCAGCCACTGCAACATGAGTTCAATCACTGGCCAGGGAGGTGACCCACATGGCACAGCAGACCTCTCCTGTCTCGCCCGCTGCTCCCCTCAGCAGTGTATTTCAGTAGATCCACTTGTTCTGCTCCCCACTCTGTCTCTGGTGAATCTGCTCATGCCTCCACCTCTGGCCTGCACCCCAGTTCTTGCATGCATACAAAAAATAAAACCTTAAAGAAAAAGAAAGATGAATCCCTTCTATAGAGTGTAGCCAATCAGCTACAGCAGGGAGAGCAGGTCAGGGGCTGGAACCCAGGGCAAAGGGAGATTTGGGGAGGAGGAATTGACCTGGCTTGGAAGGATGTAGAGGTGACTGCAGGGTTCTACACCAGAGCTCTCTCTAGAAGGGTGGCAATAAAGTGACCTTCCCGAGGCCCCGGGAGAGTACGGGTTAATGGGGAAAGCATGAGGGAAGACTCCCTCTCCAACCTCCTCTCAGGCCCTGCAGACCCAGGCTCCTCACCTGCAGGCCCAGCGTGGCTCGGTCATACTGGAACACCCGGATGCCTGGATTGTTGGCCCCGTTGACCACTCCAGGCAACGTGGTTTTCCACGGCGTGACCCCAGGTGCGAGGAACATGACGCTGATGGGGGCACCTTGCAGGAGAGACAACAGCACTGAGAGAGGCTGGCAAGAGGAGGGCAGGACTGGCCGTTGCCCTCCAGACGAGTACCTGCGTCATCGTAGAACATCCGGAAGCTGTCAGTGTGGTGGTGCCCGAAGAACTGCCCTGCAATGACCCGATGGTGCTTGCGGACCACTTCCAGGTACTCCTTGTTGAAGCTCTCCCGGAACCAGGCTTTGTTCCGCGTCTTCTCAAAGAACCCCGGGGGCACGTGGCCAATGATGTAGACCTATGAGGAAGGGTGCCCAGGAGCGGCTCAGAGACCCCTTCATTTCCACCTCTCCGACCTGCCCATCCCCCCAAAGGCAAGCTGATAGGCTCAAATGTACCTGCTCCCCAAAGTCCTCCCGTTCCCTCTCCCGGGCAGACTCCGTGTTTTCTGTGTCCAGAATGCACCATGTGCTGCGCGACCCCTGAGTCTGTGCCATTGCTGTGCCTGCCACCTGGGGTGCCCTCCTCCTTTTCTCCTGCTCATCCTCTCAGTTTCCAGGGCAACCCCTCCTGGAAGCTTCCCGACCCTGCGGAGCCCAGGCTGCTTCTCTTGGCAATCTCAGACACTGCAACAACTTCCCTGGCCTGGCTGGGCAGCACATGCTAATTAATGGTCGGGGGAGGCCATGAAGAGCAGGACCTTTGGAGTCATCCTGCAGCTTGGACACCAGCTGTGTCACCAATCTGTGCTTCAGTTCTCTCCCTGGGGGTAGCATCTAATGGGTAGGGGGTTGTGAGCTAAATGAGATCATCCAT